CCAGGTTTAATATGTGCAATAAGTTCATTTCAATAAGTTTTGCAATAAACATTGAACCAGTCCGGCCCTCGACTTGTACCCATTTTTTAATTTTGGCCCACTGTGTATTTGAGTTTGACCCCCCTGTGTAGCCAATCAGAGTCCTCAAAAGTAATACCAGAGCGGCGATTATTTTATCGCCCCAAGTAAGCAACTGCTACGCAGCTGGACGACGGCCACAGGAGGTGAGGAAACACAAGGAGGAGGGGGATAAAAAGAGACATATTTTATCCAAAAAACTGAAGTTTTGTGGGGCTTTTGAGTTGGCTTTGCGTGGGCATGACGAGACTCTTCAGTCAGCACTTTCAGGGGGTTGGTGGATTTAGTTTCTTGCACACTGACCTGGAGGAGCACCTGGAGACCGCCAGCGTTTTTAAAGGCACGTCAAAGACCTACACCACATTGATTTTAAGAATAAGAATAATTATTATTAGTTTGTTACATCCCTTTGTTAAAAATCCCATGTGCCACACACACAGAGACACAACAAATCCAGCACCAGTCCCTTTGTATGCTGCTATGGACATGTTTGCACTCTCATTCGCACACATCACCTTTTCATATATCCTGCTCACGTGAAGTAAACAGTTATTTTGTGTTTTTTTGTAATTATTGAGTGTTCTTGTATTCTAATGTGTGTGTATATATAGTTATGTAAATAAGTTGGGGTATAGGTATGTATATACATATTTTATATATATTGTATATCCTTTATTTTATACCTCGGGACTGTGGGAAACAGTATTTCGATCTTTCTGTGTGTACAAAGATATTTTGAGATTCACAATAAAGTCGACTTTGACTTGATTAGAGAAACACTGCTGTGTTAACTCTCTGTTCTCTGTTGATCGCTGTTTCTCAGGATCATGGAAGCTACCAGCTGCTGCTGCAACAATCACTGTTGTTCTCCTGGCTGTCACATCTCTCTCTGTCTCCCTGTGGATCAGGTGAGCAGATCTGTTCATCTTAATCGTTGTTTGTTATATCATTGAAAGTCTGTTTGTCTGGTGTCAACATCTTATTTTTCTTCATAAACTCTCCTGACCAGAAGAAAGAGGGCGTCCAGAGACTCGTCTGAGCCTGAAGAGAGAGCGGACACCAGGGAAGAGGTGAGAGTAGATGCTTATGTAATTCATCTAGAACAAAAGAAAACACGTTACTCTCAATGTAATGATGGTGGTCTTTAAGTGCATATGGAAAATGTATCTGACCTCTTGCTGCTCTTTTTACATCCTTCTATAAAAAGTGAATTTCTATCACAATCTCTTTGATTCTCCTCTTAGACGTGAGTACATTCTGTAAGGGAAACTTCTGCAGCAATGGAGAGTCAGGACTCAGAGAGACACGAGGAGAGTTGGAGCCTTGATGTCAAACACTGATGTTTATTACAAGTATCGGCCGGAGGATTCACATCACAAGTCACAGAGCCATAGGTTGTGACTGCCCGGTGCGTTGCCACGTCAATTCTGCAGAGCCTCTCTCTCGATAGACCTTTTAACTAGTTTACAGAGAGTTAATCAACATATTGGGGGAGATAGCCCCAACATCTGGAGACACTGAGTCACTTGTCTGACCCTTAGACTCTAAGCCAGCGTCCTCACAATCATAAACCATCTGTGACCGAGAGTTGCCCGGTCATAAACTGGGAATATCAACATATAGCTGAAGCCTCCCATTCCTTAAGGCAGATAACAGAGTCAGGGTTGGTCATAAACATCAAAGGGCAAAAAGGTTAGATACCTAGGAGTAAGGGAGAATTATTCTCTAACACATTCCAAGTACATCCAGAGGTTTTCCTACCTGTTATCCTTTCCTCTTTTCTGTCATACATTAGCATGTTGATGAAGCAGGGATATGTTTCCATCCTTACCACAGCTGCTGTTGCTTTGGCCTTTTCTGTCCTGGGTCCATTCCTCTGTAAATGTCTATGAATGTAAACATGTGTAGTTTAAAGTGTTTTCTTCCCTGCAGTGTGTACCTGATCAGCCGGAGCAGCAGGATGACCCTCAGTATGCCAGCGTTCACTTCTCCAACAGCCGGGCGGACCCTCTTTACTCCAACATGAGAGCAGCTCGGCCCCTCAGACACACGGAGCAGCAGGAAGTCCCGGAGTACGCTGCTGTCCAGTTCAGCAGTGCTGCCCCGAGGTGAGCAGATCCTCACAGGAACATTATTCATATATCATTTAATTCCCTTTGCATTATTATTACCACTAAAATCTCATCATGTGTCTCTCAGGACCAGAGGGCAGGACCCTGGAGAGGATCCATCTGCATTGTACAGCACGGTCAACTAATCATTTCATTTCGTTTCGAACCTTTATTTATCCAGATTGTCCCTTGAGATCATCGATCTCTTTTTCAAGGGAGACCTGCAAGACCTTTAACTAAACCCACTGAACACAGCAGGGGGGTATACTATGAATCTAGTTCAACCTATCCTGGATATGTTTGAGTTATCCGGTTGGCCTAATCCAAAACGAAGCCGCTCTCGCTAAACTGTCCTACGACGTTGGCTATCAACTAGTTCGCTCAAGCCAGCCGTGTCCTATCTAGTTAGGTGCGCGTTCACATGAAAGGGGTGGTATCTGGAGCATTCGACCAATCACAAACATGGAGAAGCGCACTGACAGCGCAGCGTCATACTTGGCGGACAGTGCGGCATGCGAGTGCGGTGACCCTGAGCAGACCGCTGTCCATATAATAACAATCTGCCCCTTATATAGACCACCCTCGGAAGCCAGCCTCTTCGACCTAGGACCAGAGATGCGGGCATGGCTACACGACACCGAGTTGGACCTCTAACGTTACACGAAAGAAGAAGAAGCGTCATACTTCCTGAATGAAAAGTGAAATGAAACTATAATACTAGTCAAATATGAAGAAGTTAAACTTGAAACATCCATGACTTAAACACTTGATCCAGGATCAAAGCCACAGAGCTGCACCTGCAAGGTGAACACAGCTGGGAACAGAACAAGAGTTTGAATGCGTACATTAACAGCTTTATGATATCACTGCCGTCTAAGACACCATCTGACTTTCATTACATTTGACTCCAGTGTTTCCTCAACTTAATGTGTTGCTTCAAATAATCCTTCTGCATCCAGTCTGTGACGCTGTGAGTGTTGCACGGCCAGATACGGCTCAGCTGACTCAGATCAGGAGATGATACATTATGAAGTGATATGTTACGACCCTGGGTCGTTAGGTCATGTGTGTGGAAATGTTTTCCTGTGTGTGTGTGTGTGTGTGTGTGTGTGTGTGTGTGTGTGTGTGTGTGTGTGTGTGTGTGTGTGTGTGTGTGTGTGTGTGTGTGTGTGTGTGTGTGTGTGAGCAACAGGTGGTGCCCGTTAAGCTGATGAACTACCTTCAACCTGCTGATTGGTCCACCTGAAGAAGAGAGGATATTTAACTGCAGTTCCTCGGCCTCTCTCCGACTAGACTTCTCCTACTCCCAACACACATCTGCGCTGCAATGTCTGTCCTGTTACGCTGATGGCTTATTTATACCGTATGCCGGTCCTTTCTCTCGTGTTGTGAGACTGTGTAGAAAAGCTACTAAACCTGTCTTTGTTAGACACGCTTTATTTATTTTGCTTAGGAGTGCAAAACCCTTTCTTTTTTTTCCTTCTGGATAATTCGTTTTCTCCTGTTTTTTGCATTAGAGTAGGTAAGATTTTGTGTTAAAAGCTTTCTTTGTTTTTTTGTGGTTTTGCTACTCCGGTGTGTAATCATTTTGGGTAAATACATTTACCAAACGCTTTCTCTGTTTTGGCGTCCGTGTTCTTGGGAGTGGGAAAAGTGGGGAGAGTGCATTTTATGCTGCGCCTAGGTTCCCCTAGGTCTGGGCGTAACATATATGATGTGATATGAATGATAATGGGACATATCGACGTCTGCACTCACAGTGCCGCGGACTGTAGGCTACGTAATGTTACTTTGATCCGGTTACTTATGTTGTGGCAGATATTTAATTAAGCTTTCTTAACATAATAGTATAATAATAGTATAATAGTCAGATTGCTCTGAAGATGGAGGTGATGTTCTATTCATTTTCACGTTCACACAGTCAGTGATTTTGGCCGGCTGTCTTTCCTGCAACCGCAGTTTAAACTGTATTTCCTCCGCACACTGAGCTCTGATTGGTCAGCAGGCGTGGTGCTTTCGCTGAGTTGATCTTTTATCCTGGAACCTATCCGGCTTCGGAGCACAGACTAGGTTCCAGGATAAGTCACCATGGAGATCTAGCCCGCTAAAAAGCGAACCAGCTTCGTAGTACCGGAAATCCCAGAAGTTATCTTGCTAAACGAAAATCCTGCTTCGTAGTATACCCCCCACGCGTTGACTTTGAAGGACTTCTGTTTTTTTACGATCACATTTCTATGTACACAGGGATGATGTGGATTTATTAAATACATGTCTCAGGGTGGACCTCTCCCAGAATGAGGCGATGAGTTTTCAGCCTAGTTCTTATTCATCTGAATGGCTCAAATGTAAAGATTGTGTTAAGTATTTCACAGCTTAATTCCTGAATTGTAAATATTTCTTGTGTAACATGATTTTTGCTGCAAAAAAATCCAAAATGTAGAGATGTTGCAACAAGCGATCTGATCCCTAACTGCTGGCTCGATGGACAATGTAGATATTACTAAAGAGTTATCATTTACTGATAAACCATTTCCATTGTTTTGTAAGTATATTTATCAACTTTATTCAAATAATATTTCTTTACACTGTTCTTCTTCTTGTCTAGACTCAACAACTACTTCCAAAAGACGTTTTGCTATTGAAAAGCACGTTGGGATATTAGAGAGGAACATGCGCTTGCTGATGTAGTTGCGGACGCCGAAATGTTTCTGTTTTACATGTTTTGCAATAGTATGAACCAACAAACCATAGTGTAGTATTTTGATAAATATTTCTAAATGCATGTTGAAAAGAACAAGAGAAACTACAGTATGGTGTGTTCTTGGAAAATGTTTAATCTGTGAAAGTAAAGGAGACGCAGAAACCGTTGAAAGACTTGAATCCAGCTGATTTCACACGTGAACGCTGAAGCACCACTCATTACACTCTGCTGCTGGGACGGGGGTCAACCAGGGGTCAACCAGGGGTCAACAGGGTCTCTTCTCAACTCTAAAGATAATTCTGTATTTCCATTAAATATCGTTCTAACATTGACGTTGAATATGTTTATTTGTTAACATTAGCGGACACAACCGAACCTCAACACCTTTTTGTTTCCTGGAAATAACGTTAATTATTCTGCACAAATCCATCTCTCTACATGCATGTCTCCTTCACGATACCTTTGTAAATGAACCTTTAAGCAGAGGCCTGTGGTGCCAGACAGAGGCTAGAGAGTATCAGTGTATTACTACAGCGCCAGGAGAAGCCATGTACGTCTGTGGGCAATATCAGATTGAATGAACACTATATTGAGAGTAATGTCAGCCTTATTCTATATTTCTGACAGGAACTAAAGCTGTTAACTAGCTCTCCTTAGAGCCACCAGACTCCATTGAAAGAACAAGCTATTTCCTCCCCACAGGACAGAGGAGCTGCTGGTCGGTCGCTGGTTAGTTCTTGATATTATGTGACCTTGGTGGTTTCAAACCAACCCATCTTAACACCGAAGCTCACACAATAAACCAAAGTAACCAACATGCAGCAGAAACTCCTCCTGTGTTCTGTAGAACGAGTGTTTTTGTGAATGGAGTTTGGTGGCGGCACAGGGCAGGAAGGTAAAGCAGGGAATCTGTGTACAAATACACACAAACTATCCCTTTAACATTCAGAGAACTGGACTGGTTTCTTATGAGACACCATCCCAACGGAGAGCGCAACAACTCAGGCGAAGTATTATCACATCTTTAACATTATATCAGTTCAGTGTTTAATTGGCATCTGACGCTCGTACCCACACAGCTTAATCAAACATTTGACATCGAACCGTGCAGAAGCTTCACACATCTCCTCTGCATCAGACGCTTATCTCTCATCTTGCAGCATAATGTGCTTTGATCCGACAAAAATAAAAGTCCTGACACCAGAAGGCATTTCCTGTTGTTTGGCTGGATGTATAAAACTCAGGAGACAGACAGGGGTCATGGGATCAGTACCATCAGGGCCATGTGATCAGTACCATCAGGGCCATGTGATCAGTAGCATCAGGGTCATGTGATCAGTACCATCAGGGTCATGTGATCAGTACCATCAGGGCCATGTGATCAGTACCATCAGGGCCATGTGATCAGTAGCATCAGGGTCATGTGATCAGTACCATCAGGGTCATGTGATCAGTACCATCAGGGTCATGTGATCAGTACCATCAGGGCCATGTGATCAGTACCATCAGGGCCATGTGATCAGTACCATCAGGGCCATGTGATCAGTACCATCAGGGTCATGTGATCAGTACCATCAGGGCCATGTGATCAGTACCATCAGGGCCATGTGATCAGTACCATCAGGGCCATGTGATCAGTACCATCAGGGTCATGTGATCAGTACCATCAGGGCCATGTGATCAGTACCATCAGGGTCATGTGATCAGTACCATCAGGGTCATGTGATCAGTAGCATCAGGGCCATGTGATCAGTACCATCAGGGCCATGTGATCAGTACCATCAGGGTCATGTGATCAGTAGCATCAGGGCCATGTGATCAGTACCATCAGGGTCATGTGATCAGTACCATCAGGGCCATGTGATCAGTACCATCAGGGCCATGTGATCAGTACCATCAGGGCCATGTGATCAGTAGCATCAGGGTCATGTGATCAGTACCATCAGGGCCATGTGATCAGTAGCATCAGGGCCATGTGATCAGTACCATCAGGGTCATGTGATCAGTACCATCAGGGTCATGTGATCAGTACCATCAGGGTCATGTGATCAGTACCATCAGGGTCATGTGATCAGTACCATCAGGGCCATGTGATCAGTACCATCAGGGCCATGTGATCAGTACCATCAGGGTCATGTGATCAGTACCATCAGGGCCATGTGATCAGTACCATCAGGGCCATGTGATCAGTACCATCAGGGTCATGTGATCAGTACCATCAGGGCCATGTGATCAGTACCATCAGGGCCATGTGATCAGTACCATCAGGGCCATGTGATCAGTACCATCAGGGTCATGTGATCAGTACCATCAGGGTCATGTGATCAGTACCATCAGGGTCATGTGATCAGTACCATCAGGGCCATGTGATCAGTACCATCAGGGCCATGTGATCAGTACCATCAGGGCCATGTGATCAATACCATCAGGGCCATGTGATCAGTACCATCAGGGCCATGTGATCAGTACCATCAGGGTCATGTGATCAGTACCATCAGGGCCATGTGATCAGTACCATCAGGGTCATGTGATCAGTACCATCAGGGCCATGTGATCAGTACCATCAGGGCCATGTGATCAGTACCATTAGGGCCATGTGACCAGTAGCATCAGGGTCATGTGATCAGTACCATCAGGGCCATGTGATCAGTACCATCAGGGCCATGTGATCAGTAGCATCAGGGCCATGTGATCAGTACCATCAGGGCCATGTGATCAGTACCATCAGGGTCATGTGATCAGTAGCATCAGGGTCATGTGATCAGTACCATCAGGGCCATGTGATCAGTAGCATCAGGGTCATGTGATCAGTAGCATCAGGGTCATGTGATCAGTACCATCAGGGTCATGTGATCAGTACCATCAGGGCCATGTGATCAGTACCATCAGGGCCATGTGATCAGTACCATCAGGGCCATGTGATCAGTAGCATCAGGGTCATGTGATCAGTACCATCAGGGCCATGTGATCAGTAGCATCAGGGCCATGTGATCAGTACCATCAGGGTCATGTGATCAGTACCATCAGGGTCATGTGATCAGTACCATCAGGGCCATGTGATCAGTACCATCAGGGCCATGTGATCAGTACCATCAGGGCCATGTGATCAGTAGCATCAGGGCCATGTGATCAGTACCATCAGGGCCATGTGATCAGTACCATCAGGGTCATGTGATCAGTACCATCAGGGCCATGTGATCAGTACCATCAGGGTCATGTGATCAGTACCATCAGGGCCATGTGATCAGTACCATCAGGGCCATGTGATCAGTACCATTAGGGCCATGTGACCAGTAGCATCAGGGTCATGTGATCAGTACCATCAGGGCCATGTGATCAGTACCATCAGGGCCATGTGATCAGTACCATCAGGGCCATGTGATCAGTACCATCAGGGCCATGTGATCAGTACCATCAGGGCCATGTGATCAGTACCATCAGGGCCATGTGATCAGTACCATCAGGGTCATGTGATCAGTAGCATCAGGGTCATGTGATCAGTACCATCAGGGTCATGTGATCAGTAGCATCAGGGCCATGTGATCAGTAGCATCAGGGTCATGTGATCAGTAGCATCAGGGTCATGTGATCAGTACCATCAGGGTCATGTGATCAGTACCATCAGGGTCATGTGATCAGTACCATCAGGGTCATGTGATCAGTACCATCAGGGCGATGTGATCAGTACCATCAGGGTGCTTCTTCTTGTGCGACCTCTCAAATATTACAAACATTCCTCCGCACTCTGGTGTGAGTGTTGCTTTAATTTAACAACAGAAAAGTGAGCTGTCGACATTTCATACACATTAACACGGGGCGTAGAAATGATGTTTTATAGTGTTTTGTATTTCTAGGAAATCCACAATCAGTGGGGAATCCTCCAACTGATCCTAGTGAGGGCGATATTTGGTAAAGGCTCAATACGTGAACATATCAGAAGTTTCCTGGAGCAGATTATTCTACAGACTTAATACAAAAATCCTTTACAAAAAAGTCCCCCCATGATCATTCAGAAGAAGAGCCCGTTTTCCTGACATTACAAATGTTGACTTTTGTCCCAAAATTCAGATGTCTTTTCTCGTGAATCGTGACATAACACGTTTTTCTCCAAATGTTGACTTTTTTCTCAGAATTTTGTTTCAAGAACTTGAATTTTTTTCTCTCAAAATTCAGATTTCCTCCGAAATTCTGACTTTTTCTCCGACCTAAACATTTAATTGGCTTTTGGTCAGACCTCAACATCTTCTCACCTGTGGCAATTATCCTCTCCTGTCAATATATTTCTCAATAATACTGTGAATAACATTTCAAAAATCATCAATCCATATTAGATCTAGAATCATATCGTCGTTGCACAAATATTTAAAGTAACCACAACTAGTCATCCTCCCCAGACGCTGCAGCCCTGTCACATAACGTCTTACCTGCATATAAACGACATATTTAGAAACAGTTTTCTCTGAAACTTCGTGCACGTGTCTCACTTGGAGGTGACGGCCTTCTTGTTGGCCCTTCGACTTCCTGCGCCTCCTGCTGCTCCAAATCAGAATGTGGAGTATCGTGGAGTACCGTGGAGTACCGTGGAGTACCGTGGAGTATCGTGGAGTACCGTGGAGTATCGTGGAGTACCGTGGAGTATCGGGGAGTACCGTGGAGTATCGGGGAGTACCGTGGAGCAGCGGAGACTATAATCCTCTAAAAAAATCACACCATGATCATTCAGTATCCAGATGAGTATTAGGGCCACAAGTCACATGGGGTCACATGACCAACAGTATATCATTTTTGAGTATTGAGAAAAAAGTGAGAATTTTGTTTTTTATTTTTCACCGATTTTCGTCCTAAAATTGGGATTATCTTTTTAGTATTTTGACGTAGCACATTTTAGATTCTTTTTTCTCTGAATTTAGATTTTCTTAACTGTCTGACTTTTTGCTCAGACCTGAAAATGGTTTAAAGATGATCAATCCATATTAGATCCAGAATCATATCGCAGTTGCACAATTATTTAAAATAATCACGGCTAGTTATTATCCCCAGATGGTGCAGGCCTGTCACATAACGTCTCATCTTCCTATAAATTGGAAACAGTTTTCTCCGAGTGTCTCACTTGGAGGTGACGGCCTTCTTGTTGACACTGGCCCTGCGACTTCCTGCTCCTCCTGCTCCTCCTGCTCCTGCTCCTCCTCCTCCTCCTCCTCCTCCTCCTCCTCCATGCCACAGGCTGCCAGGGATGGTGAAGGCGTCCACGCTCATGCCCATGGTCTTGGAGGGGATGGCGCTGAACTGCTTCCTGTCCGAGCTGTATTTGTAGATGTGCTCCACCTGTGCTGAGCTGACGGAGCGCGGGCCGACTCCAGTCAGACGAACCAGATCCTGAGAGTCCGGGTTCAGGGTGTAAACGCCCCGAAACTGACAGCTGGAGTCCCTGAAGAGGATCAGGAAGTGGTGGGCGGGACTCTTCTCCATCTCCTGAGGGCGGAGCAACAACGTCATTATACCTTTATCTGCATTTAGTGTTTCATCTTTAATTAGTGTGCATTTTGTTATTTCTATCCCGAGACATTTTTCTGGCATTTTGTTTTTCCACACACAAATGTAACACCCTAACTCCCTCCTCCCTGTGCATAAGATATAATAAAATGCATAACAACAATCACAGACTTTATTTAGCGAACCAAGTAAAGATAGTATACCCAGAAAACAACATGTCTGTTCCTCAAAGGCTGTATCACGACTCCAGAAATCTGAGTATCTAACAGAGCGTCAGAACAGCTTTGTTTTTATGGAGCTACGACGTCACGTTGTTGTTTACGTCCGCGGAGACATCTTGTTTATGGGCGACATGTTGATATATCTTATAAACAAGATCAGAGACACAGTACCACAGAAAACCCCCTGGTATTTATGAGGACATTTACACATTGAAACAACTGAAGTGAAACCTTTGAGCAGGATTTGTAATGCATGTTGGAAATCACATTAAGGGTTAAATATTGTTTCTCTGAGAGTAAAATGAATGCTGTACCTCCACGATCTTGTTCTTCTGCGTCTCGTTGACCTTCCCTGCGAGGCAGCAGCGCGACAGGGCGTTGTGGATGATGAACTTGTTGGACTTGAAGCTCGGCTCTTTGAACAGTTTGGGACCTGAGACACAAACACAGGCTCCGACCTGAGTACTAACACAAGTACTTTGATAATATATATACTCAATAACAGGTATTAGTACTGCACCTGTGTACTCCGGGGTCGCTGAGGTCTCACTGTCTTTGTCTCCGTTCTGATTCACCAGTTTACTCGGAGTCACACAAACTAAGGGCGAGTCAGGACGACTGGGGGAGGAAAAGCAAACCAGAGCTAACGATACAACTATCTTTAACCTGGGACCGTTAACATAGCATCTTGCTAATGTTAACACAGGACATAACATGCATACATATCTGTAATATATAAAATGATCATGCAACGGGACTTCTTTCTTAATTGCAATTTGAAAATACATCATTTAAATTCTTCAGACACTACCTAGAAAGAATTGTATTTACATTTAGAAAAGTGTTGTTATATGATGACATAGCATAGCATTTTAGCATTAGTAGATCATTCATCTACCATGCTCTACACTCAGGTGCTACACAATGGTAATACAGGAGCTTTTGTACAAACATCATGGCAATCCATTCAATGTTAGGAGAGATATTCCACTTAACAATTGAGCTATAAAGACACTCCCATCCCTTCGGCTGTGCTGCGGTGTTAATGGAAGTAAAGTATATAAAATCTCTGCAGCAGTTTACCTTGGGGCTTTCTTGGGGGGGGTTCTGTTCCCGGGGTCGTCCGTCGCGGTCAGGTTGAGGGAGGGGTTGGAGTGGACTTTGGTCAACTTAGCGCCTGGAGAAACAGACATAATAAGAAATGAAAACCTGGCTTAGTGGAAAACTTGATTCTGATTGGTCGCTCAATTGTTTTTGAGGACGGAGAGGCCCTAATCATCTTTTTGGGTTTCCCCTTTCCTGAACTACATTCCTAAAAACGATGGTTTCAGTACCCGTGGTTCCCTTGGCTGGACTCAGAGACAGCTTGGTCTCCTCGCGGGTCATACTGCGGGGACGGGACCTGGTCTTCTTCCCGGAGGATCGGCCATAACTGCTCAGCTTCTCCTGGAGCATTTTGTCAAAGTTGTCCATGATCTTGAGCTGATGCCGCCGATCGTACTCCAGTCTCGTGAAGTTTCCCCGCCTGAAAGGTGTATCTGGAGGAGTGGGGGAGGGGGAGGTGTGGCCTGCAGGGGGGGTGGAGGAGGGTCTGAAACAAAGAGCAGTGGGGTTACTTTTACATAAGACTACTAAACACCTGAACTTTTTAAAGAACATCCATAAACATTCATCTGTTTGTATTTAGCAAATTATCTATCTAATAAATCATTCCATTTACTTGTATATAGACTCTTCTTGCACTATTTCTATTATATTCTATTTTATTTGTATTAACTTGCACATCTCAAAACATTCTCTTGCACTATTTGATCTGTTTTATTTGTTCTATGTCCTATATATATTCATGTTGCTCTGTTGGAAGAGGACTTCTGTTTTTCATTGCCATATCACTGTAGCTGCTGAGCTCATGACAATAAAGCCTTGGACCTTGAAACTGGTAACTTTACCACCGCACCACATTAATCTACAACGAGGATGGTGTTACCTGTTCTCCCTCTCCTGCTCGTTCTCCTGCCTCCTCTTCCTGAGCTCCTCCGCTCTCCTCTGCTGTTTCTCCAGCAGCAGAGCTCTGCGCTGGGCCATCTCCTCCTCACTGTGCACATCTCCCTGCAAACACACAACCAGCATCACAAACACAACCACACAACCAGCATCACAAACACAACCACACAAACACACAAACAGCATCATATATCGACTGTCATGGCAGTTAACTGAGGTTATGAATATTCCTACATCCCTTAATTCATATATCCCTTCCCTACTACATACTTTCATCCCTCTCTCCCATCTTCCCTACCTCCCTTTATAGCTCCCTAGCTACATCCCTTCATCAATTCATCCCTTCATTCCTACATCCCTCACTCCCATGATCCCTTCATCCTTTCCTTATTACCTTTAGTCCTACTTCTCTTTATCAATGTATGCCTCCCTCCCTTCATCCCTTCCACCCTACTTTCCTTCCTCCACTGATCAATTCATCCCTACATCCCTTCATCCCTCCCTTCCTACATCTCCTCATACATTTATCCCTCCTTCCCTAAATATCTTGATACCTATATCCCTTAAACCCTAGCTACATGAATTAATGCCTTCATCCCTTCCTCCCTCCGTCCGTACATCCCTTGATACCTTTAGCCCTTCGTTCTTCCCTTCCTTCATCCCTTGATCCCTTCACCCCTGCTGTAATTAAATCTTTGTTCACCTCTATGTTGTTTCGCCATCACTCACCTGAAAGAAGAATCCGATCCCTCCTCTCGGCCCGGGCTCATTCTGCTCAATACTTTCTTCCAAAGTTTCCGTCGGTTCTGCTTCAGTTTCAGCTTCCTGTTCGGGCAAACAACCACCTCCTGCTGCTGCCAGGTCCAGCTGCTGTTCTACGGGGTCCAGAGGTTCAGCAGCGAGTCCTCCAGCAGGTTCCACCCCAGACTCTGTGTGGTCGCTCATAGAATCAGAAGAAAACTCCTGCCCTTCATCGGTCGGCACGTCGCTGCCCCCCTCCGGCCCTCCGAGAGAGGACCGCGACACCTCAATCATGCTGCATCTTTTCCCTGCGCCTACTGCGCCTAAAGCAGCAGATAGAGACAAGGACTCGCTCTCAAACGAGCACTCGGAGGGCGCTCCGGAGCTGCTTCTACCTGTCTGGCGGTCGTGTCGAGGTAAGACCGGCAGCCCTCCCACAGCCTCCATGTCTTCCAGCTCAATGCTGAACTGAGTCGGGGTCTCACTGGAGGCCGTGTCCGAGGTGTTTCCGTCGTGTTGCGGCTGCTGGACACCCTGCAGAGAGTCTTCAGGCGTCCGAGGCCCGCCGATTCGGAAGGAAGAGGATGACTGATCCTGATACTTGCTGGGGGATACCCGCCTCAAATGGGGGAGGGTGTCCACGTTGTGTGTCGGTGCCAAGGCCCGGTTGTATGTGGGAAACTTTAGTTCGGAGGGTCTTGGGTGAGGCGGATTTTGGGCACGAGGGTGGTGCTTCGGGCTGCGGTGAGACGATGAGGACTGGATCTTTGTGCGGGGATTCGGGCAGGAGGACGACATGATAGTCTTTGGGGAGGCGGAGAGGGGAAGAAGGTGAGAGCGCCGGGACGGGGAGTCGGCAGCACCGGCATCAGGGATCACCCAGGCCTTGCTTATGCTCCTTGAAGAAGACTTGGTTGGGGTTCTTGGAGGTGTCTTTGTCGGGGTGTGAGGGGGTGTTTTGGGGGTACTTCTAGGTGTAGATTTGGACGCGGTTCTGGATGTGGTTGTGGGTCTTTGGTTGCTCATGAGCTGCTGCTGCTGTTCTGTGAGTTTCTGCATGTCCTTCTGTAGAGACTGCAGAGCTTCACTCAGTTTCTGCACCACCTCGTTGCACTCCACAAAAGCAGCTTCTCCGACCTTCTCTGGAACCTTCTTATTCTCAATGGAGAATGTGACCTGCTTCTCTAACCGAGGAGGGTTGGATGCAGACGGCTTCTCTTTCTCCTTCTCTTCCCTCTCCTCCTCCTGTTTCAGTTGCGCCTCCATACAAGTGAGGCTCTCCTCCAGGGTGAGACTAGCCTCCTCGGCTCCCGCCCCTCCCCCCTCTCCTTGCTCTCTTTTCAGTTGCAAAAAGGCAGTTTTTCCGAGCCTCTGTCTGTGCTTGGCAAAGATGGCTTCGATGCGTCTTTTTTGGGCTTCAATGCTTTTGCGTTTTTCCTCCAGACGAGCGCCTAACTCCCAGGCCTCAGAGCCCAGTTCAGGGCCTCTGGAGCCGGGGCTGTCCTGGTGTCCCAGTGCCCCTGCTGGGGTGGAGGGTGTGTGTGGAGTCCCTGGTGTTGTTGGAGCAGAGGCCGACTCCTCTCCAGCAGCAGCAGGCTGTCTTCTTCTGTGATCCCGGCGCTCTGCAAAGCTTGTCATGCGTGGACTGTTGCTGTTGCTGCTGTTTCGCTGCCGTCCGCCGCCTGGTCGCATGTTCCCCGGGGCGTTTCTGGGCGTATCATCGGACGCTTCAGAGGAGTCAACGCTGCCATCTCGCAGAACAGAGTCGTCATCACGGGACATATCGGAGGTTCGTCCTGACCTCTCCTTCCTCTCTCCTCTTCCTCGCCTTTCATTGCCTCCCGCTTCCCCACCAACCGGCCGATGGAGGACTCCGGAGCGACAGGGAGCGGAGCTGCTGAGCTGATCCTCCTCGGGGGAGTGCAGGAAGAAACCAGCCGGGGCTCCTTCAGGACGTAACCTTGGCTCAGGTCTCGATCCCAACACTCCTTTTCCACTTTTCTCTGGTGTCCTTCCCTTCTTGGGGGTCTGCACCACCTGCAGGGCCTCCTCGATGGTGGGCAGTTCTCCCAGGGGCGTTGTGTGGGCGTAAGGGCCCCAGGACGAGCGCTGCGATGGGGCTGAAGCGCTGACCAGGTGGCTCAGTTCCTCTGGAGGACCGTACGGGACACAAGGCTTCCCCGTCACAGAGGTGGTCATCGCTGGGATGCCGGTGGAGAGGCTGTCGTTGCTGACAGAGCGAAAGACAGCATCTATGGGGTTTCCCATCACAATGTCTACATCACTGTCCAGCCCGAATGGGATGCTGAACGTCACGGCGGACAGAGGACGACTGCAAGGACGAACGGATGGGTTGTGAAAACAAGAAAAGCAGAGACAATGAAAGCCAAAGTAAGAATTAAAGAAATTAAGATAACATATGAATGTACAACATTTACTGTACAAACTGCATGGAGATCTAAAGTAGGGCTGGGCGATATATTAATACCGTATTAAGGTAGTTATATATGAGGATTTCTTAACATCGCATTCATTCAGTTTCTGATCTTTTATTGCAAATGTTTATGTTTCTATGAATAAGTATTTATTTTATACTTATATGGTGCAACTGTCACTAAACCTTACCCCCCGCTGGGGTAAATCAAGTATTTTGATGGAGTGATTGATTGGTTGGTTGATTGATTGGTTGATTGATCGATTGATTGGTTGATCGATTGATTGTCTTCCTATCTGTTTCTACCAATAATTTGCTTTCACCCCCTTCTTCATTTATCTACGGATAATCCAAATTATTATTATTTCATCCCAATTTTGAGGTACTTGATCAGAAATATTGTCCATCCATCCATCCATCTTCTCCCGCTTATCCGTGGTCGGGTCGCGGGGGTAGCAGTTCCAGCAGAGAGCCCCAAACTTTATTTTCCCTGGCGACATCAACCAGCTCTGACTGGGGGATCCCAAGGCGCTCCCAGGCCAGCGAAGAGATATAATCCCTCCACCTGGTCCTAGGTCTACCCCTTGGTCTCTTCCCAGCTGGACGTGCCTGGAACACCTCCCTAGGGAGGCGCCCAGGTGGCATCCTAACTAGGTGCCCGAACCACCTCAACTGGCTCCTTTCGACGCGAAGGAGGAGCGGCTCAACTCCGAGTCCCTCCCTGATGACCGAACTTCTCACCTTATCCCTAAGGGAGACACCAGCCACCCTGCGGAGAAAACCCATCTCGGCCGCTTGTATCCGCGATCTCGTTCTTTCGGTCATGACCCATCCTTCATGACCATAGGTGAGGGTAGGAACGAAAATGGCCCGGTAGACAGAGAGCTTTGCCTTCTGGCTCAGCTCCCTTTTCGTCACAACGGTGCGGTAAAGCGACTGCAGTACCGCTCCCGCTGCTCCGATTCTCCGGCCCATCTCACGCTCCATTGTTCCCTCACTCGAGAACAAATATTGTGATATTTGATTTTTTCTCCATATCGCCCAGCCTTACTTTGAAGAATAACTACCTGATTTGTTTCTTTGTCCAACTTTTATTTTCTGGAAGGACACAAAAAGAAAAGATCTCAAGTTAAAAAAGTCTATGAAAGAATGTGTTGCTTACATTAATGATAGAGATTAACTAAGAACATTGTCCGAGGTCTTGAGAGCTTGTACTCCACTACTAGGTATGTATTACCTGGTGACACCGGGGAGCTGATGGGTACAAAGGGTTGTTTGAAGATGAAGGCAGGAGAACCACTGAAACAGAGAAACACAGTAAAGTTATGTTTATTTACAACTCTCCACAAAAAAAAAACTTGCTGTCCGCTGGTCTGGAGGTCAATGGTTGTCTGAATGTGTTTTTGGTCCAACACTGAAACACGTCATCACGGCATCACTTTATTCCAGAGAGTCTGTAACCTTTGCGGCAGATTTCCATCAGACTGTATGCTGTCTCTTTAATTCAATTCAGTTTGAAGCCACCCATAGTTTATGAAATAACTAAAACGAGACACTGAACCTGAAACTAGTTCCCCTTCATTTCTCAAGTTCTTTAGATTTGTATCTGCTTTCGGCTAAATGAATACTGCAGTAGTAAAGGTCAGGATTGATTTAGGACATCCCATCAGAGAGCGCTCCTGCCTGATTTAGGGTGTGTTGGTGGGATGGTCTACCTGTTTCTGTTCCCGCCCATAGGGCTAGTGCAGTCCAGCAACCCGGAGACATCTGAAAGACAGAAACTGCAGTTTTAGAGGACGGCGATATTTATCGTTGGAGAAATAGAAGTGTTTTACCGCCACACAGAGACCTGTGAGGTCGATGGGTGTCACCGGCTGCACAAACTCAGGCTTTTTCACCTCGAACCAGTCGAGCAGCTCAGCTATGAAGCTCAGGATGTTCAGCTGAGGAACAGGAGACACCAGGTGGAGGTATTATAAAGGACACACACAAAAACCATGACTGTGGGCTCGTTACAAAGAGAGTCGCAAAAAGATTAGATAAGATTGCAAACGAGTTGTTACGGATACGCAATTAAAAAAACATAGTGACAGGTCCACAGTTTTGCATGCCTTCCTTTCATATTGCTTCCCACACACTGTACTAATGCATCTGCAGTATAAAAGTATATCAGTGTGCAGTATATTCATATCGGGTTACAGTATATTAAAGGTCACCTAATCTAAATTCACATGTCTCTTCCACATCAACATGTGTCCCCTCTGTGTTCAGAGACTCTTTCAGGAACAAAGACCCTCTCTTTTTGTCCTGATCCATCTTTATAAAAACCTGTCTGAAAATCAGCAGATCAGAATTTGGTCTTTTTGTGATGTCATTATGTTTTTTTGGGTTGTGTAACCATTAGCCAATAACCAACCAAGGTAACCCCCCCCCCACCTTATCACCTGAATCTCCTCCTAGAGCAGTGGTTCCCAACCCGGGGTACGGGGACCCCTAGGGGTATTTGAGAGGCTTGCGTAGAAAGATTAGGGATTGCAATATATTTTCACACAGAACCTTTTTTTAAATCAATTTTCATAAGCCTGGTGTCCCGCCCCCAGAACTATCAAAGCTTATGAAAGACAAGCGTGTCTTTAAAAGCTCTAGGCTTAACTAATGTTGTTGAAACTGCTAGAAGTGAGTCTTAATATAATAATTTTCACTGACAATAAGTATCAATGTCAAGTTTAAATGCATTTGTATTAAGGGTGAGTTATGCAAGTGATTTTCATCCAAGGAGCAGTTGGATTATTACAAGGGGTTTAAATACAAGAAAGAATGTTGGCAAATCATCTCAGATGAGTGAGGGGGTTCTTATACAGGGTATCTGCAGGAATCCTGAAGTCAAATGTAAGACCTTTTAAGACCTTTTTTAAGACCCTTTCCATACATTTTAAGACCTCATCGCAACTTTGAGTTCTAACCGGTTACATTGGCGACACTTTACCTCACATTGACTATATTGATTGTAAGATAGCACAACTAAACAGAGTGCAGACAGACGACTGAAGCCTCCTCTCCACATGAACTTCAACCTCTCTGTGAAGGTCAGGGTTAATGCAGGATGCTGCTTTGTTGCTTCTGTACTCTGTGCTCTTTCATTCCAGTCAAACTCCTCAGAAACCAGTAGAAACCAGGATTTGACCAATAAACAAAACAATTGACAAAACTTTGAACTATGAAATATATGAAACTTTGGTGAGCTTCAGCGGGGTAATGCCATATAGGAGCTCCCTCACAAATACCCAGGGGTTCAATTGGGCTGGGGCTGTCCGGGGCTAAGCCCGGCACATTTGTCATATGTTTACAAAAAACGATATATATGTTAAGACTTTTCTCGTTCTTAATATAGACTATATTTAGGGTCAATATGTGTTGACCTCACTTTAAAATAGCAGATCTCTGTGACGGGATATAGTTTGGCTTAGACCCCGGCCCCACGAGGACGCATACAGTAAAACGCATACGCAAACGCAAAAAAGTATTCCGTTCACACGCATTCGATTCATTAACGTGTCCGTTCACACTAGACCGATGGAAATGCTGGAAACGCTGTAGTACATATGCCAGGCCTGTAAGTGGCGCTGCTGCCGCCACCAAATACACCAAAAGCAGCGAAGAAGACCCCAGAGCATGGTTGTCATGGTGGCCCTTCTGTTTACTCTCCGCGGTGGACGGCGTGTTCTCCTGCTGTATATCTCTCAGGGAGTCCACCAGCAGATAACCCCCCCCCCCCCCCCCCACGGAGCGGAGCAAGGCAACGAAACTTAAAATAAGAAGCAGCTTTTTATGGCACGCTATGCATGGGGCCACCTTGAGGGGGTTTCCCGACATATTGTTTCAGTAAATTAAAGGGTGTTTCATTTTGTCGTTGCTGTGGACCTTCTTAATACCTTGGAAAATGCCCTTTAATACTTTTTAATACTTTTTAATAGCCTTAATTTTCGCTAAATTGATTTATCAACTTTTAATACTTTTTAAGACCCCGCGGACACCCTGTTATAATGGAGACCAGCTCAAGGGTTACACAAGACAAAACGTTTGGTAACCGCTGTCCTAGAGCACCATTGTGTTTTTTTAAACCAATCATCTCTCAGAGGGGCGTGGCCAGCAGCAGCTCATTAGCATTTAAAGCTACAGACACAGAATCAGCACTTTTGGAACAGGGCTGAAACAGAGGGGATTATGGAATGCTGCAATGATCTGTTTGGTGTTTCAGCCAATCAGAGACATGCTCTGGATATATCTGAGACCTGTAATATATTGATGAAGAAGAGGATAATAGGGGACCTTTAATATCAGGTTACAGTATATTAATGCAGTTGGAGAGTGTTGATGCGTACGTGCAAGGTGGGGGGGGCGTAGAGCAGGTCCTCCACAGCCAGGGGGCAGCAGCTCTGCAGACTGCTCTCAGTGAACTCCCTGATCAGCTGCAGGTTGTAGAGACTGTCGGCCAGCGACATGGTGTCCTTCAGACACACATCTGGAGACACAACAAACACACATTAATATGCATTTAGTGTTCTTCAAACACTTTACTGAGTTATTTGTAGAGATCAGCAAATTAAACGTGAAATACTTTGAAAATTAAAGTTTGGTAAAGGGAACAGCAGAAGAAGACGGACAGGAAACAGAGATGCTCTCCCACCGTAATGGAAACCTTTTACAGACATCAGCTAAAGATACATATTTAATCGTGTGATGTGCACATTCATGCATGTGTGTGTGTGTGTGTGTGTGTGTGTGTGTGTGTGTGTGTGTGTGTGTGTGTGTGTGCATGCGTGCGTGTGTGCATGCCTGCGTGTGTGCATGCGTGCGTGTGTGCGTGTGTGTGTGTGTGCGTGTGTGTGTGTGTGTGTACCCTCTAGAGGCAGCAGCTGGGGGCAGTAGTAGTGCAGCGCTGCAGCGATGGCGCAGCCGTTGGACAGGTCTTTGACTCCGGTCACTACCGGGAAGGTGGGCGTCAGCTTGGACTGAACCCGGTCCTTCCTGTAGCGGATCTGAGGGAGACAAGAGGGGAGGGGGAGACAGAGGAGGGTGAGAGGAGGGAGAGTTGTGCCAGGAAACAGAAACAACAAATGGACGAGTGAGGGGAAGAGAGGGGGATAATAAGAAATGAAAATAAAGATTAAAACCATCGAGTCTGAACTATGACGGCAGCCAAACTCCAGGAAAACTGCAGATAGAAAGAAAACCCACAGAAACAAAGCGCAAGACCAGTGATGCTACTATAAACACACACACACACACACAGACACACACACACACCCACACACCAGAAGGTGCAGTGCAAAGGTGTCAAACAGAAAATGAAGTGAGGCTAAGGTGATGGAGGCCTCGGCCCTCCGGAGTCCATGCAGCAGAGCTCTGATCACGTCAGAAATCAGAAAATAAACAGAGACGTTTATCCAAAGGAAACGAACACTGTGTCACTGAGACAGAAACACACTGCAGGATTACACAGCCAATCAGAGGAGGACCATCTCAGAAGACTCAATGCTTCATCACTGCATTTATGTCCACAGTGTTGACAATTATAAAAATAAATATATATATTTATCAATTAATGAAGTTGGCTAAAGATGCTATCTACCCATACAGCAAGCTAGCTAGTGAATGTTAGCTATCTAGCTAGCTATTTCATTGTGATTCATGATCATTTTAGAAATCATTAATCACAATTAATTCATTTATTTCAATGTTTTTAATGCAAAAAGTATAAAAATGTTAATAATGGCCGAATTGTGGCTAATTACTAATATTATTTTTTTCATTTTTTTTTTTTTCACTCATTGAATATAAAACAACATGTACACTTTAAGCAGTTTATATTGCCAATTTATAAAGGTTAACAACCTGAAAAGTATTCTAAATCTCAAGTCCATAGCTGTTAGACTTGGAAAGGAATTACATTTTCTAAATTCAGGCTGCCTTTACTCCTCCTGAGACTCGGCTGTGTAACGCTCTTTAAAGCAGAGCAGTACAATGTGGATAAGTTCTGTTAATATCTAATAAACCATCCAGCCTCGGGGTTGGACGAGAGATTAGTGAGCCGCTCAGTCATTGGTTGACGGCGGGGGTACAAGCGTGGCGATTGGTCAACCACACGTGGGGGGGAGTGGGGTAAAGAGCGAGGGGTTATACGTTACCACTGGAGGCTTATTCCCCGACTCCTTCAAACAAAAAGCGATAGCATGCTGGACGGGGGAGGCAGATAGAGGGATATAAATGAGAGGGGGCGTCATCTGGAGACCACAAAGGGACAGCTAAGAGGGGAGAGGGGGAAAACTGGGGGGTTTAAAGGTGCAATGTGTAAGAACATGACTTCACGTCAGCACCGCTAAGCTAAAGGAGGCTAATGTTGCAACCCAGTCTCACGGCATTTTGTGTTATAGTCACAAAATGTAATCTATTGATTCGTGTTCACCAACACGGTTTCCCAATTTTTTTCCTTCTAATTTGTTATATATTTTGGATGAAGGCACGAAACATACTAAGCTAAAGGCGGCTAATGTTGGGCTATAAAGGAACTACAGCACGGTCACATGACTTCACGTCACCACCGCTAAGCTAAAGGCGGCTAATGTTGGGCTATAAAGGAACTACAGCGAGGTCACATGACTTCACGTCACCACCGCTAAGCTAAAGGAGGCTAATGTTGGGCTATAGAGGAACTACAGCACGGTCACATGACTTCACGTCATCACCGCTAAGCTAAAGGTGGCTAATGTTGGGCTATAAAGGAACTACAGCACGGTCACATGACTTCATGTCACGATCGCTAAGCTAAAGGGGGCCTATTGTTGGGCTATAAAGGAACTACAGCACGGTCACATGACTTCACGTCACCACCGCTAAGCTAAAGGCGGCTAATGTTGGGCTATAAAGGAACTACAGCACGGTCACATGACTTCACGTCACCACCGCTAAGCTAAAGGCGGCTAATGTTGGGCTATAAAGGAACTACAGCGAGGTCACATGACTTCACGTCACCACCGCTAAGCTAAAGGAGGCTAATGTTGGGCTATAGAGGAACTACAGCACGGTCACATGACTTCACGTCATCACCGCTAAGCTAAAGGTGGCTAATGTTGGGCTATAAAGGAACTACAGCACGGTCACATGACTTCATGTCACGATCGCTAAGCTAAAGGGGGCCTATTGTTGGGCTATAAAGGAACTACAGCACGGTCACATGACTTCACGTCACCACCGCTAAGCTAAAGGCGGCTAATGTTGGGCTATAAAGGAACTACAGCACGGTCACATGACTTCACGTCACCACCGCTAAGCTAAAGGCGGCTAATGTTGGGCTATAAAGGAACTACAGCGAGGTCACATGACTTCACGTCACCACCGCTAAGCTAAAGGAGGCTAATGTTGGGCTATAGAGGAACTACAGCACGGTCACATGACTTCACGTCATCACCGCTAAGCTAAAGGTGGCTAATGTTGGGCTATAAAGGAACTACAGCACGGTCACATGACTTCATGTCACGATCGCTAAGCTAAAGGGGGCCTATTGTTGGGCTATAAAGGAACTACAGCACGGTCACATGACTTCACGTCACCACCGCTAAGCTAAAGGAGGCTAATGTTGGGCTATAAAGGAACTACAGCACGGTCACATGACTTCACGTCACCACCGCTAAGCTAAAGGTGGCTAATGTTGGGCTATAAAGAAACTACAGCACGGTCACATGACTTCACGTCACCACCGCTAAGCTAAAGGAGGCTAATGTTGGGCTATAAAGGAACTACAGCACGGTCACATGACTCCACGACACCACCGCTAAGCTAAAGGAGGCTAATGTTGGGCTATAAAGGAACTACAGCACGGTCACATGACTTCACGTCACCACCGCTAAGCTAAAGGAGGCTAATGTTGGGCTATACAGGAAGTACAGCACGGTCACATGACTTCACGTCACCACCGCTAAGCTAAAGGTGGCTAATGTTGGGCTATATAGGAACTACAGCACGGTCACATGACTTCACCACCGCTAAGCTAAAGGTGGCTAATGTTGGGCTATAAAGGAACTATAGCACGGTCACATGACTTCACATCACCACCGCTAAGCTAAAGGAGGCTAATATTGGGCTATAGAGGAACTATAGTACGGTCACATGACTTCACGTCACCATCGCTAAGCTAAATGCGGCTAATGTTGGGCTATAAAGGAACTACAGCACGGTCACATGACTTCACGTCACCACCGCTAAGCTAAAGGAGGCTAATGTTGGGCTATAAAGGAACTACAGCACGGTCACATGACTTCACGTCACCATCGCTAAGCTAAATGCGGCTAATGTTGGGCTATAAAGGAACTACAGCACGGTCACATGACTTCACGTCACCACCGCTAAGCTAAAGGAGGCTAATGTTGGGCTATAAAGGAACTACAGCACGGTCACATGACTTCACGTCACCACCGCTAAGCTAAAGGAGGCTAATGTTGGGCTATAAAGGAACTACAGCACGGTCACATGACTCCACGTCACCACCGCTAAGCTAAAGGAGGCTAATGTTGGGCTATAAAGGAACTACAGCACGGTCACATGACTTCACGTCACCACCGCTAAGCTAAAGGAGGCTAATGTTGGGCTATAGAGGAACTACAGCACGGTCACATGACTCCACGTCACCACCGCTAAGCTAAAGGTGGCTAATGTTGGGCTATAAAGGAACTACAGCACGGTCACATGACTTCACGACCGCTAAGCTAAAGGTGGCTAATGTTGGGCTATAAAGGAACTACAGCACGGTCACATGACTCCACGTCACCACCGCTAAGCTAAAGGAGGCTAATGTTGGGCTATAGAGGAACAACAGCACGGTCACATGACTTCACGTCACCACCGCTAAGATACAGGCTGCTAATGTTGACGTTTAGTCGTCTTATAATGCTGAGCCATGTCAGAGAGACTCATTCCTGCAGCTGAAGTTTACAAGATGGCAGAGCAGTTTTGTATTTTTTGTTTGTGTCTCAGAGTTTCCGCAGTTAATTTGAGTTTTAGGTACCACACATTGCATCTTTAATAATCAGCCGGGGATAAATGTCATCTCCCTCCCCTCTTTCCCCCCTGGCTCTGATACTCAGGGCAGATTGAGATTAAACTGATGACTGGATGTAAAAACTTCATTAACAACCCCCAGCATTAACATGATAAACAGTTGAGAAAAAGGTTAGCAGATATTTAACACACTGAGGTGACGTTCACACGGCAAGTCTTCGTGCATAATTCAGATTTATAACTCAGATCTGTTTTTGTTTTTTAAACGTGACGAGTCCAGTGTGGACCCTCTGAACTAAGTCACATATATAAATTATAATTGAGCCACTTCCTGCCTGCAGTGTGAACGCAGCCTGAAGGCAGCACTTTAAATAATGGATGTGTTTGAGTCAGAGAGGAAGAGACACTTACGGGGACAAGTTTCCAGTACCAACGGTTGGATTGACACTGCCCGAGAGCAAGGCATTAGTGGGGGGGGGGGGGGAGAAGCATTGTCGATGTTAGAAGCAACAAACACACAGAATGAAAGACGGCTGCAAAACATGGTGTGTGTGTGTGTGTGTGTGTGTGTGTGTGTGTGTGTGTGTGTGTGTGTGTGTGTGTGTGTGTGTGTGTGTGTGTGCGTGCGTGCGTGCGTGTGTGTGTGTGTGTGTGTGTGTGTGTGTGTGTGTGTGTGTGTGTGTGTGTGTGTTACCGAGTCCTGAGCAGTCTGCAGGTCTGTGCATGTCTTGCTGGGCTCTTCTTCTTCTGTGGTTTCTCTCAACTTCTGGTTCAGCTATGAGAAGATAAAAGACATCATTATAGTAAATAAATAAATATATTCACTGTTTGTTTTTTGTTTTCTTGGCTGAAAATAACTTGTTTATGAGTGTCAAAGATGATAAACATAATATTAAAGTGAAAAACCAGCAAGAAATCACAATGCAAAGAAAAAGTATAACTATTTTTCATAACGTTGAAAAAACAAGAAAGACAAAATGAGATATGGTTTCTGAGCGTGCGTCGCACCCTGTTGACCCAGAACAGCAGGGCGTTCTCCCACGGAGCGCCGGCACCCGTTAGCTCCGCCTCCGCCGCCATCTTCACCCGACCCACCGCCTCGTTAGCAGCCAATGACATCAGGCCGTCAATCAGAGCCAGATGGGCCTTCTGCACCAATCACAGCAGGAGCACACATTGACACATCAGTACATCGTGATCAATCAGTACGGTAACAATGAATTATAAAGGAACTACGGCACGGTCACATGACTTCACGTCACCACCGCTAAGCTAAAGGAGGCTATTGTTGGGCTATAAAGGAACTACAGCACGGTCACATGACTTCACGTCACCACCGCTAAGCTAAAGGAGGCTATTGTTGGGCTATAAAGGAACTACAGCACGGTCACATGACTTCACCTCACCACCGCTAAGCTAAAGGAAGCTAATGTTGGGCTATAAAGGAACTACAGCACGGTCACATGACTTCACGTCACCACCGCTAAGCTAAAGCAGGCTAATGTTGGGCTATAAAGGAACTACAGCACGGTCACATGACTTCACGTCACCACCGCTAAGCTAAAGGAGGCTAATGTTGGGTTATAAAGGAACTACAGCACGGTCACATGACTTCACGTCACCACCGCTAAGCTAAAGGAGGCTATTGTTGGGCTATAAAGGAACTACAGCACGGTCACATGACTTCACTATTGGAAACAATAAGACAGAATGAACAGTCAAATTAATCACCGTGTTGATGGGCACAGCGCTGAGGTCGTCCTCTGTGACGTCTACATCCTGGACCTTTGGACCGAAGCCTTTCTTAACGAGCAGCTGCAGCAGGGCGCCGTTATCTGCCTGCCCCTGCGCCGCGGGCTGGGAGACCCCGTGCTCCGCCTGCTGCAGCGCCCGGGCCCGGCAGTAGATCTCAGGAGAGACCAGCAGCTGGGCCAGCGCCGGCTTCAGGTGCTGCTGCAGGTACTGGTCCCGGTAACACGGCTCCCTATACTCCACCGGAACATTCTCTGGGGAAAAGCAAAGGGAAACGAGAATATTATTAAAGATATAATGCAAGAGGATTTAATTAACAACACGATTCAAAATGATATGGAAATATACTCGGTGATTCAAAACGATTCGATCCGATATGAGAACATAAGAAAGGATACACAACAATACTATACTGTACCACACAATGAGATACTATACCACACAATGAGGTACTATACTATACCACCAGAGATGGGGTCGTTACTAAAAAAAAGTAATATATTACACAACTTTGTTACTCTCTACATAAAGTAACTCGTTACTTTACTCGTTACTTTACTCATTACTTCACTCGCAGGGCCGGCCCGCCCTTCCCTGCAGGCAGATCACGCAGACTGCTAAAGTTTCAAATGTTCTCTTTAGTTCAGTTTCAATTGTCGCATAAGACTGATCCAGATAGCTCATGAATGTTTTCCTATCTGACAGTGGCTGTCCTCTGTCTCCTGCTATCTGTATTTTGAGAAGTATATCTCTGAACGATGGTGATTCCACTGTGCAAATGGGCAACATTTCCTCTACTATGAAGGATGCTACAAGCCTGTCCATCTCTGCTTTGGTTTCCGGTCCTCCAAATTCTAATTTGTGTTGCTTCGGGGTCGGCGGCGCACTCACAACATCCTCACTCTGGGTTCGGGGGTCCTTAGCAATTAGCTTCACCTTAGCATGTGTTCTTTGCAGGTGTTTGTTGAGGTTTGACGTGGTGTTTACAGCAGTGGATAACAGCTTCTGTCCTGGACACAGTTTGCACCTCACTGTCACATTCCTGTCTATTCTTCGGACGAACTCAAAGTAATGGGCATACCTCCCCCCCTCGAAAGTTATCGCTGACTCAGCCATGTTTATGCAGCCCTGCACATGGAGATGTGGACGCGCAAGTCGCACAGATTACGTACATATAAACCTGCGGCAGAAACCCCTCTTGTCTGTCAGTGTGATTATGACTGATTTTAGTAAGTAACGAAGTAACGCGTGTTGGGGCAATGTTAGTAACTGTAGTGTGATTACTGAATTATAAAAGTAGCGCGTTACACTACTCTGTTACCGACAAAAGTAATATTATTACAGTAACGCGTTACACCCAACTCTGTATACCACATAATGAGGTACTATACCACACAATGAGGTACTATACCACACAATGAGGTACTATACCACACAATGAGATACTATACCACACAATGAGGTACTATACCACACAATGAGATAATATACCACACAATGAGATACTATACCACACAATGGGGTACTATACCACACAATGAGGTACTATACTATACCACACAATGAGGTACTATACCACACAATGAGGTACTATACCACACAATGAGGTACTATACCACACAATGAGATACTATACCACACAATGAGATACTATACCACACAATGAGATACTATACCACACAATGAGATACTATACCACACAATGAGGTACTATACCACACAATGAGGTACTATACTATACCACACAATGAGGTACTATACCACACAATGAGATACTATACCACACAATGAGATAAAATACCACACAATGAGGTACTATACCACACAATGAGGTACTATACCACACAATGAGATACTATACCACACAATGAAATACTATACCACACAATGAGGTACTATACCACACAATGAGGTACTATACCACACAATGGGGTACTATACCACACAATGAGATACTATACCACACAATGAGATACTATACCACACAATGAGATACTATACCACACAATGAGATAAAATACCACACAATGAGGTACTATACCACACAATGAGGTACTATACCACACAATGAGATAAAATACTTTACGATTAGATACGATAACATATGAAACGAGAATGATACAATACCACACCATACTATAGTACGATACAATCCACTGTGAAACTATAAGATAAGAAAGGATACAATACTATACGATACAAAACAGTAAGATACGATATGATACAATATGGTACACAACGATTCAAAAATATGATAGGATACAGTACACAACGCTGCGATACAAGACGATACAAAATGATACAAGTCAATAAGATACAGGACGATGTAACGTGATACAACATTGATACCATATGATACACTACAGTAGAATACGATTCAAGAAGAAACGATATAAAAACTAAAGACATCGATATTAAACTAAACAATACTTTACGATAAAGGTAAGATACAGTGCGATACGATAAGATAATGTACGATACGATACGGTATGATACGAAACGGTGTGATACGAAACGGTGTGTTACGAAACGGTGTGTTACGGTACGAAACTGACTGTCAGCCGTGTTGTTAGCGTGGATTAGACATAAAACAAAAAAACATGAATGTTGATTTCTATCCGTTTTAATTGAGTGTATTGAATAAATGAATAAGACAGGGGAGACTCCTTCAGACTCTGGGTTGTCCACATTACCAACAGTAAACCTTTTTAAATCCTCGTCTCTTCAAAACCAAGTCTCAGGTCATTATGGTCTGCAAGTCTTAAAAAGTCTCTGACAGGAAGTGACAGCAGAGAGCCTACAGGACGAGATAATGTCCTCTTCTGCATGAACAAGTGTGTGTGTGTGTGTGTGTGTGTGTGTGTGTGTGTGTGTGTGTGTGTGTGTGTGTGTGTGTGTGTGTGTGTGTGTGTGTGTGTGTGTGTGTGTGTGTGTGTGTGTGTGTGTGTGTGTGTGTGTGTGTGTGTACATCTACTGTGGACACAGAAACACACACTCCATTGGCTGACCCATATTCCAGAGCAGGAGGATAATCCTGGAGATGTGGGAGGACTTCTCAGAGACCAGAGTCTGCAGTGGTTCTCTGGAGGTCTGAACGATTATCACATCTCACTGAGACTCTAATGACTTCTCTCTCTGTGACCCAGCGTGGTGAAAACACAGCACAAACTGTTCTGATGATAAACAAACTGTACTCCCACAAACATCTCTAAAACACCTTAACTCAGGTCCTCTGACTCCCACTGTAGCGGCCAAAATCATACATATATAAATAAAACAGATAATTAACTTAAAGGGGACATATCATGCTATATTTGAACAATATATTGTAGGGCCATACCTATATAAAGTATATAAATATAGTTTTTTTTTCAAAATACCAAACAGGTCCTGCATTTTAGCCATGCCTCATTTAGCTCTATTTGCTCTTTCCAGCGCTGTTTAAATCAATACAACTATTTTTTAAATCAATAAAATCATTTTCTAAATCCATAAAAGCATTTCAATTAATATTGGGAGTCATGTCGTTATTTTGTTGAGAATGTGGCCGTGTAATAAGCGGGATAACGTGCACATTGCATAATGTGCCTTCATGCCGATCTAGATCCCTCCGCCTCGCGTCGGGCTCCTGATCAGCCTGTCGGTGTTCTTCTCCCCATAATGACCGCGTCGCTGCACATTATCCCTTACATATGATTATATAGAGTCATTATTCATTTGTTTTAAAGCAGGCGCAACCGCTTGCCTCGGGGAGGGAGAAAAAAGCCACAGCGGAGAATAAACAGAAGGGCAACCATGGCAACCATGCAAGGGAAGTCTTCTTCACTGCTTTTGTGGCAGACTACAGCGCCACTTACAGGCCTGGCATATGTACTACAGCGTCTCCAGCGCTTTCGAGCGGCAATGGCCGGCCGTGGCCCAACCTCTCATTCCCCTGATAGGTGGAGAATTGACCAATAGCCGTAGCACCACCGTCCTGACGTCAGGACAGTGTTCAAATCTGGATCAGTCTGTATCAGATCCGTTGCAGCCCCTTTTTTAGAGATTTGGGTATGGAGGAAAAGAGAGAGGGTTGTGTTTTCTGACACTTGGTGAGGTCCCTGGAACACCGGGGACACATCTTCACGTATAAAAGACGTACAAGAGTGCATTTTGCATGATAGGTCCCCTTTAAAGTAACACTGACGCTGAGGCACCAGTTAGCAAATCTGACGCAGGGCAATGATCCAATATCATTTACAAAGAACAGGTTTCCTATATTTCTTTCCTTTAGCTTTCCTTCTTGTGGCTTGAAACACCCTGGTAAAAAGAACCATGTGCCTCCTAGTGCTCTACTCCCTTCTCCACCTGTCTCCAATGTTTACAATTACACCAGGTGCCCAAACATGCCATCAAAATAAAAGCATAGAAACTATTTTAACTTGCAATAACAACAATAACTAAGAATACATTTACTATAAACGATAAAAGAAAGAACATAATGTTTTAACTATTAAATACTATAAAGCAATATATAGCTCCAACACCCACATTAAACACACTCTCTGAGTCAGTGTAATAACACACACTCCTGCAGTAACACACACTGTTAGGGGTTAAACGCTCTGCAGCTCTGCAGGAAGAGGCTGTCGTCACCAGGGAGGATAATGGGAAGCATGGGAATAATGGGAGAGTGGATGAGACTGGACTGCAGAGCAGGAACCAGCTGAGGGTTGAACTCCTCCATCAAAGAGAACCACATTAGGAAGAAACTAAAATCAGGTCAAATGAATGTTGTTGGTTATCATAAAGAATTCAATCCATTAAAGGGTTGAAAACGAATGCAATAACGTAATAGTTGTTATGATTTAGGTCAAAGTAGGAAGATTTAACTTGGTCAGCAGGAGAGGACTCTTTAAAGTAGAGATGCTACATACTGATATACACCTGAACATCAGCAGGAGAGGACTCTTTAAAGTAGAGATGCTACATACTGATATACACCTGAACATCAGCAGGAGAGGACTCTTTAAAGTAGAGACACTACATACTGATATACACCTGATCATCAGCAGGAGAGGACTCTTTAAAGTAGAGACACTACATACTGATATACACCTGAACATCAGCAGGAGAGGACTCTTTAAAGTAGAGACACTACATACTGATATACACCTGAACATCAGCAGGAGAGGACTCTTTAAAGTAGAGACACTACATACTGATATACACCTGAACATCAGCAGGAGAGGACTCTTTAAAGCAGAGACACTACATACTGATATACACCTGAACATCAGCAGGAGAGGACTCTTTAAAGTAGAGACACTACATACTGATATACACCTGAACATCAGCAGGAGAGGACTCTTTAAAGTAGAGACACTACATACTGATATACACCTGAACATCAGCAGGAGAGGACTCTTTAAAGCAGAGACACTACATACTGATATACACCTGAACATCAGCAGGAGAGGACTCTTTAAAGTAGAGACACTACATACTGATATACACCTGAACATCAGCAGGAGAGGACTCTTTAAAGTAGAGACACTACATACTGATATACACCTGAACATCAGCAGGAGAGGACTCTTTAAAGTAGAGACACTACATACTGATATACACCTGAACATCAGCAGGAGAGGACTCTTTAAAGTAGAGACACTACATACTGATATACACCTGAACATCAGCAGGAGATGACTCTTTAAAGTAGAGACACTACATACTGATATACACCTGAACATCAGCAGGAGAGGACTCTTTAAAGTAGAGACACTACATACTGATATACACCTGAACATCAGCAGGAGAGGACTCTTTAAAGTAGAGACACTACATACTGATATACACCTGAACATCAGCAGGAGAGGACTCTTTAAAGTAGAGACACTACATACTGATATACACCTGAACATCAGCAGGAGAGGACTCTTTAAAGTAGAGACACTACATACTGATATACACCTGAACATCAGCAGGAGAGGACTCTTTAAAGTAGAGACACTACATACTGATATACACCTGAACATCAGCAGGAGAGGACTCTTTCTTAAGGGTGAACATTCATATTAAATGAGGCACTGAGGGCTTTTTCCAGTGAAGCTGAGACACTAATATAACAGGAATCTGAATTATTACATAAACTAGGACACTTTTGTAGAACTGCAGAAAGTAACAGAGTACATTTACTCAAGTTCTCTACTTAATTAATTTTGAGGTATCTCTAATTGAGTATTTAAATGTTATGCTTCGTTGTACTTCTAATCAGTTCAGAGGTAAATGGTGTACTTTTACTCCATTACGTTTATTTAATACCTTTAGTTATAGACTTTAATGAATGAAATGTAATCAACACAGTATTTTCAACATATAGAAATATTTGTATTATAGTTTTAAATGTATTTCATTTGTTTGTGCATACCCTGTAACATAATAATTTCTTAAAATGCAAAAATAAATAAATAAAATAAATAAAGTTTCAGATAAATGTAGGGCAGTAAAAATATAAAGTAAAATAAAATGGAAATAGTCCAGTAGCTTAAATAAAATAGCTCTTAATACTCCAGGTGTTTTCTCCCTCTGCTGACACACACTGAGACCCTTTACAGTCAATCCACTTCCCATAATATCCATATTAATGTGATGTCAGGCTGGGATCGGGCACCAGCTGCAGAGGTTCGAGTCCAGCTTGAGATTGAGATAGAATAAAGGCCAAATGGCCCAATAGCTTTATATTTCTGTGAATATGAAAGGTGTTGTTCCGCTGCTGGAGACTCCGCAGGCCGAACACACCCCCCCTCCTCCCCGACAGAAGGCTTTGTTGCGCCGCAGCAATGACAGCATGCAGGGACGACGACGACGACGACGACGACGACACCCACATGCACCGTCACATTTATATGATTTTAAACACGTTTTTGTTATCCTGCAGCCTGAAACCGCGGAAGGATCCGAGCGGTGCTGAGGCTGCAGGAGCTTTAGCGGGAGGATGCAGGACGGAGCCCCACCCAGAGGAGCCTCAGAGCGGGGAGAGAGCGGAGGAAGAGGAGCCTGGAGGAGGAAGGTTACCTGCAGATCCGTACGCTTTGTTCAGCAGCCAGCGGACACTCGCGGAGGTTTTCGCCCGGCTGAGGTCGTACCGGTCCAGAGGCTGGAGCTCCGGAACCGGGAGGCTCTTCTTCATCGCACCGGGAGAATCCACCATGACCGGGAGAGAAGAGGAGGAGAGGGGGGGGAGGGAGAGAGAGAGAGAGGAGAGAGAGAGAGAGAGAGAGAAGAGAGAGAGAGAGAGAGAGAGAGAGAGAGAGAGAGAGAGAGAGAGAGCTAGAGAGAGAGACGAGAGCGAGAGATGAGAGAGAGAGAGAGAGAGAGAGAGAGAGAGAGAGAGAGAGAGAGAGAGAGGACCCACCCTGTGATGCAGATTCTGCAGGGGCGGATCTAGACTGATGTTACTGGGGGGCTAATGTCAATACAAAATTCCAACATAAAATTATTTGAAAAAATGTATGCACTCAAAGGGACGGTCGTAATTTTAAGACTATATAAATATACATATATAAATATATAATATATATAAAATAATGTATTATATTACATTATTGCCGCTAATTTGGATTATTATCAGATAGGGTAATAACTTCATAATTAACTCCATCTGAAAGCAGAAGTCTAGGGCAAATAATTGCAAGACTCTTCAGCGTGCATGTCACAAAATGAGATGCATTGAGATGTAATGAGATGAGATGCATTGTGGGACATGTAGTTTATGGGCAACCTGCTCCTGTAAATCGGCATGTAACCGTATAATAAACGCATTATATTCTTTGCAAACTCTTGCGGGGCCACAGAAAATGAAGTCGCGGGCCGGATTTGTCCCGCGGGCCTTGAGTTTGACAACCCTGTTTTAGGACATATATTTGAAGGCATACATTTTAAGTTGTACGTTTAGAGGGTACTTTCTTGAGCACTCTTTATGGGTGGACTTTATTGGCATATTTTTCAGGGTACACTTTTTAGGGTATGCTGGTTAGTTGCTGCCAGTTATTAATGCGGGACAACAGAAACATAATATGTTTTACTTGCTTATATTTTATTTTTCCTGCACAACTCTTTTTATTTAAAAATGTTACAACGTATTTCTTAGTCCATAGTTTTTAGGGTCTACTTTTGATGGCATCCTTTTTAGGGTTTAGGGCGTACTTTCATGACATTTTCATGTAGTATTTTTTACCACATACTTTTGAGGGCGTACTTTATAAGGTGTACTTTATAAGCTGTACTTTATAGGGCATTATTTTATGCCGTATTTTTTAGGGGTGTACTTTTGTGGCGCAATTTTTAGGGTGTACTTTTTGAGGTCGTATTTCTTAGGGTGTAATTTTGAGGGTGTACTTTTTGGGGCGTATTTTTGAGGGTGTACTTGTTAGGGTGTACTTTTTGGGCGGTATTTTTTAGGGTGTAGTGTTTTTTTTATAGTTTCTAGGTCTTTTTGCCTGAGTCTTCAAACGCAGCGTCGGCCTCTCAGAATGTGACTGAACCTGTTTAGAGAATCAGGAAGAGGGCAACACTTCTGTCAGAGATGTTGAACAGGAAATCATTGATAATATAAACGATGATAAAGAAGGACCCGGCTTCTGTTTCTGGACACACACTGAAGAGAGGAAATCAGGTGTGTGTATCTGTGTGTGCTGAGGAGAAATTATGCTGTACTTTGACTCATATTTTTCTACACTTTGCTCGGACCTGCTGGTATTCAAACTTCATTTATCTTTAACATTTAAGGAGTTATTTTAGAGTAGTTTACTTTTGAGTCTACTAACTATTTTGTGCCATTTATTTCAACAATGCTTCTCTACTGTTTCATGAAGTAAAGATATACGCCCTTTGTTTATCGCTGGCACTGTGTAAGAACCTGCTGGTTTAAAACAGAATTAGTTAAGACTGAAGATGTTTAAAACTAAAGAGTAAGACAACAGAAACATTTATTTTCTAAGTGATGCTAGTAAAACAAATGTTAAGATCGTATTTTATTGTGTTTAAAAATATGTTTTTTAGCTTTATCTGGTTTTATTTTCATATCACATGTTTTTAAACCCAAGTACTCAGATCTCAGTAAAACTGAAAGTACCAGAGTACAAGTAAAAGTACTAAAGTATTGCACCTGTAAATATACACCTGAACCTCAGCCGGAGACGGCCCCTTTAATCTTGTCGTTGTTGTTGTTCCAGCAGGTATTGGGGCCGCCTCCTCCAAGCGTACCTTTATTTGGCAGAAGAAGAAGTCTCTGAGCAGCACCTGGAAGCAGCTGAGGGGGGGGCTGCCGTTCATAAAACCAAAGAAGAAGAAGCTGTCTCTGAACAAATTGAGTGTGAAGGAGAAGAAGAAGTCCCTCAGCAGGGGGGAGGAAGGGGGGAAGAGAGAGAGAAGAGACCCTCTCTGTGGGTGAGCAAACTAGGCGAGAGTAAAGAGACTACAACAGGAAACAGGAAGTAGGGATGCACCATAATAAAGGCTTGCAAGATATGAGAGACGCCCCATTCCCATTCTATCTATTATATTTCTTTATATTACATTTTATTTAGTATTTTATTGTATGCATTGCTTTGTTTACGCACTGATGTAAAAAAACAATTTCTCACAGAATGAGAGGTGTGTGTGTGTGTGTGTGTGTGTGTGTGTGTGTGTGTGTGTGTGTGTGTGTGTGTGTGTGTGTGCGTGCGTGCGTGCGTGCGTGCGTGCGTGCGTGTGTGTAAACTCTCAATAATGTATATATAAAAGTGGTGGCGTCCAAAGGGACTCAATGGGCCTGATGGTCTCAATAACAAACAAAATATCTGAATAAATCTGAAACTGTTTTCCGGCTGAAACAGAAACAGCTCTGTCCTGCAGGTCGGTGCACAGCAGGGGGCGCCACCTTCTCATTTAAACTCTTCTGCATCACAGAAACAGCTTTAAAGCATCATTTTATCGGCAGGACGTTTTACATTTTCAAATCCTCTATCATCCGACATCATTGTGCATCATAAAAGTAGTCGTTGTGCAGATTGGTCCATTTCAGAATAATATATATGATATGTTTTATAATGATTGATCATTAAAGTGTTCTCAAAGCTGGTAAAGGTGCAGCTAGTTTGAATGACTTTGTATACTGCAGGGCAGCTTGTCCTATCTATCTGAACGCTCTCAGTTTGTACGTGTTAACGATGAATCTTCCACGCAAACCAAAGTTAGCCATGGAGTGCCACAGGGCTCAGTGCTCGGACCTATTGTGTTCACATTATATATGCTTCCGTTAGGCAATATTATAAGGAATCATTCTGTACACTTTCATTGTTATGCGGATGATACTCAACTATATTTATCAATCAAGCCTGATGAAACCAATCACCTAAATAAAATTCAAGACTGCCTTAAGGACTTAAAAACGTGGATGACCTTAAACTTTTTGATGTTAAACATGACCAAAATTGAAGTTATTGTACTCGGCCCGAAGAATCTACGAAACAAACTATCTAAAGATATACTAACTATGGATGGCATTAATTTGGCCTCCAGTGAGACTGTAAGGAATCTTGGTGTTATATTTGATCAGGATTTATCCTTTAACGCCCACATAAAATCAATTTCAAGGACCGCCTACTTCCATCTACGTAACATTGCCAAAATTAGGCATATCTTGCCTCAAAACGATGCAGAGAAACTATTCCATGCATTTGTTACTTCAAGGCTGGATTATTGTAACTCTTTATTATCAGGGTGTACCAAGAAGTCAGTCAAGTCGCTTCAGCTGATTCAAAATGCTGCAGCTCGTGTACTAACCAGAGTTAGGAAAAGGGACCACATTACTCCTGTTCTGGCTGCCTTACACTGGCTCCCTATAGAACACAGGATATCATTTAAAATTATTCTTCTCGCCTACAAAGCCCTTAATGGGCAGGCACCATCTTACCGTAAAGAACTAATTATACCCTACTGTCCTACTAGGGCATTGCGTTCCAAGAATGCAGGGTTGTTGGTTGTTTCTAGAGTCTCTAAAAGTACAATGGGAGCCAGAGCCTTTTCTTATCAAGCTCCACATTTGTGGAATCAGCTTCCAGTTTGTGTTCGGGCGGCAGACACCCTATCCGTTTTTAAGAGTGCGCTTAAGACCTTCCTTTTTGATAAAGCTTATAGTGATAAAATAATCTATAAGAGTGCATTGACGTAGATACGTTGTGCCTCTTCACCTATACATCTTAGTTCTTACTCTTCTTCCTTACTGATGGTATAGATGTAAATTGGTTGTGTGTGTAGACAGTGGAAGCAGGGAGAGGCATACACGTGCCTTGATCCCTGCCGAGTCGACGCACAACTGTTGCTTGGTGTCAGTGCCAAAAAACTTTTTAGGAGCAATGCGTTCATGGTATAGATGTGACGCATACATCTTAGTTCCTACTCTTTTCCCTCACCCTATCCTAAGGGAGTGCATGTACGTAGACACATTAGTTTAGCTGCTATAGGCTTAGACTGTCGGGGACACCTTACTTCTTCCTTCTGGCTGTCTGTACCTGTGTACTCTCATGTTCCGATTAACCCAGCTTCCCCCAAATCTCTTTTTTCTGTCCATATATACGCCGGGATCCTGAGTCGAGGCTGATCCTGTTGCTGTGGTCGTGTGTCCTGGATCCTCTATCCTGAGCACTGGATCTGAGTCCTGGACTTCGAGTCGTGGCTGAACCTGTCTCTGCGGTCCTGCCAGACTCTCACCATACTACTTCCCTGATGGCTCCCACAGGATTGTTGACATCCTCGTGGATTCGTATTCTTATTACAGACACATGCATTTCCTAACATTTGGTCTACCTATGTTATAAATGTATTATCTCTTCAATTTCCACACGGCATCTATTGCACGTCTGTCCGTCCTGGGAGAGGGATCCCTCCTCTGTTGCTCTCCCTGAGGTTTCTCCCATGTTCCCTTTAAACTGTGGGTTTTCTCCGGAAGTTTTTCCTTGTACGATGTGAGGGTCTAAGGACAGAGGGTCTGAGGACAGAGGGTCTGAGGACAGAGGGTCTAAGGACAGAGGGTCCAAGGACAGAGGGTCTAAGGACAGAGGGTGTCGTATTGTCATACTGATATTCTGTACAAACCGTGAAGTCCACTGAGACAAATGTAAAATGTGTGATATTGGGCTATAAATAAACATTGATTGATTGATCTGTCAAGTGGTGCTCACTGCAGAGCCATAACCTCTAGCTCCACCTCTCTCTCTGGAGCTCTAGCTCCGCCTCTCTGGAGCTCTAGTGACGCTGGCAAAATGGCGGACTTTACAGGAAATTACGTTGCCGTAGCAACCACAAACAACTAGTTTAAAGACATCTTAATGCTAGAGTCTATTTAAATAGATTTGAGTTATTAACGAATGGAAATCACTTGGTTTCGATGCATTGGCATGAAGATACCAGACAACAGTTTTTACAAATAAAATGACGTTATGACCAAACTGCTGAAGGGCTCTCCCCACTATGGTTGTTGGGCCCTGCTGAGCATCACCCTAACCCTCACTGTCAACCCAACCCATCAACTCTCAGAACACATAACATTCATAGGGAAATATAATTGAATACATGAATAATATATTTCAGCATATGGCACGGGTGAGAGTGGGGTTGGTAAAGGATATATCCTCACGGTTGTGATTTGGCCGTAGGGCGAGTGCCGCAGTACTATGACATTAGCATGAGTTGTATATATTGTATTAGTATATATCATCCCAGTACTATGACATTAGCATGAGTTGTATATATTGTATTAGTATATATCATCCCAGTACTATGACATTAGCATGAGTTGTATATATTGTATTAGTATATATCATCCCAGTACTATGACATTATAATGACAGACTGATAACAGAGCTCATGCACTCACTGATAGCAATACAAAGTGATGTGACTATATGCTGCAGAAGGTGACAGGATGATGAGTTGACATGCATTGTTTATATGTAGGGAAGGATAAGATATCTTTATTGTCATTGTACAAGTACCACGCGATTCAGTGTGCAGTACCAAGCTTAACTGATGATGGAGACTTGTGTCTCTGTCACCACTCAGACTTGTGTCTCCGTCACCTCTCAGACTTGTGTCTCCGTCACCTCTCAGACTTGTGTCTCCGTCACCTCTCAGACTTGTGTCTCCACTCCATCACCTCTCAGACTTGTGTCTCCGTCACCTCTCAGACTTGTGTCTCCGTCACCTCTCATACTTGTGTCTCCGTCACTTCTCAGACTTGTGTCTCCGTCACCTCTCAGACTTGTGTCTCCTCTCCATCACCTCTCAGACTTGTGTCTCCGTCACCTCTCAGACTTGTGTCTCCTCTCCATCACCACTCAGACTTGTGTCTCCTCTCCATCCACCTCTCAGACTTGTGTCTCCGTCACCTCTCAGACTTGTGTCTCCGTCACCACTCAGACTTGTGTCTCCGTCACCTCTCATACTTGTGTCTCCGTCACTTCTCAGACTTGTGTCTCCGTCACCTCTCAGACTTGTGTCTCCACTCCATCACCACTCAGACTTGTGTCTCCACTCCATCACCACTCAGACTTGTGTCTCCGTCACCACTCAGACTTGTGTCTCCGTCACCTCTCAGACTTGTGTCTCCGTCACCTCTCAGACTTGTGTCTCTGTCCACCTCTCAGACTTGTGTCTCCGTCACCTCTCAGACTTGTGTCTCCATCACCACTCAGACTTGTGTCTCCATCACCTCACAGACTTGTGTCTCCGTCACCTCACAGACTTGTGTCTCCGTCACCACTCAGACTTGTGTCTCCACTCCATCACCACTCAGACTTGTGTCTCCACTCCATCACCACTCAGACTTGTGTCTCCGTCACCACTCAGACTTGTGTCTCCGTCACCTCTCAGACTTGTGTCTCCGTCACCACTCAGACTTGTGTCTCTGTCACCTCTCAGACTTGTGTCTCCGTCACCCTCTCAGACTTGCGTCTCCGTCACCTCTCAGACTTGTGTCTCCATCACCACTCATACTTGTGTCTCCATCACCTCACAGACTTGTGTCTCCGTCACCTCACAGACTTGTGTCTCCGTCACCACTCAGACTTGTGTCTCCACTCCATCACCACTCAGACTTGTGTCTCCGTCACCACTCAGACTTGTGTCTCCACCACTCAGACTTGTGTCTCCGTCACCACTCAGACTTGTGTCTCCGTCACCTCACAGACTTGTGTCTCCGTCACCACTCAGACTTGTGTCTCCACTCCATCACCTCTCAGACTTGTGTCTCTGTCACCTCTCAGACTTGTGTCTCCGTCACCTCTCAGACTTGTGTCTCCGTCACCTCACAGACTTGTGTCTCCGTCACCTCACAGACTTGTGTCTCCGTCACCTCTCAGACTTGTGTCTCCGTCACCTCACAGACTTGTGTCTCCGTCACCTCACAGACTTGTGTCTCCGTCACCTCTCAGACTTGTGTCTCCGTCACCTCTCAGACTTGTGTCTCCGTCACCTCTCAGACTTGTGTCTCCGTCACCTCTCAGACTTGTGTCTCCGTCACCACTCAGACTTGTGTCTCCGTCACCTCTCAGACTTGTGTCTCCGTCACCTCTCAGACTTGTGTCTCCGTCACCTCTCAGACTTGTGTCTCCATCACCACTCAGACTTGTGTCTCCATCACCTCACAGACTTGTGTCTCCGTCACCACTCAGACTTGTGTCTCCACTCCATCACCACTCAGACTTGTGTCTCCGTCACCACTCAGACTTGTGTCTCCGTCACCTCTCAGACTTGTGTCTCCGTCACCACTCAGACTTGTGTCTCTGTCACCTCTCAGACTTGTGTCTCCGTCACCTCTCAGACTTGTGTCTCCGTCACCTCTTAGACTTGTGTCTCCATCACCACTCAGACTTGTGTCTCCATCACCTCACAGACTTGTGTCTCCGTCACCTCACAGACTTGTGTCTCCGTCACCACTCAGACTTGTGTCTCCACTCCATCACCACTCAGACTTGTGTCTCCGTCACCTCTCAGACTTGTGTCTCCGTCACCTCTCAGACTTGTGTCTCCATCACCACTCAGACTTGTGTCTCCATCACCTCACAGACTTGTGTCTCCGTCACCTCTCAGACTTGTGTCTCCATCACCACTCAGACTTGTGTCTCCATCACCTCACAGACTTGTGTCTCCGTCACCTCACAGACTTGTGTCTCCGTCACCACTCAGACTTGTGTCTCCACTCCATCACCTCTCAGACTTGTGTCTCCGTCACCTCTCAGACTTGTGTCTCCGTCACCTCTCAGACTTGTGTCTCCATCACCACTCAGACTTGTGTCTCCATCACCTCACAGACTTGTGTCTCCGTCACCTCTCAGACTTGTGTCTCCGTCACCACTCAGACTTGTGTCTCCGTCACCACTCAGACTTGTGTCTCCGTCACCTCTCAGACTTGTGTCTCCGTCACCTCACAGACTTGTGTCTCCGTCACCTCACAGACTTGTGTCTCCGTCACCTCTCAGACTTGTGTCTCCGTCACCTCACAGACTTGTGTCTCCGTCACCTCTCAGACTTGTGTCTCCGTCACCTCTCAGACTTGTGTCTCCACTCCATCACCTCTCAGACTTGTGTCTCCACTCCATCACCTCTCAGACTTGTGTCTCCACTCCATCACCTCTCAGACTTTTGTCTCCGTCACCACTCAGACTTGTGTCTCCGTCACCTCTCAGACTTGTGTCTCCGTCATCACTCAGACTTGTGTCTCCGTCACCTCTCAGACTTGTGTCTCCGTCACCTCTCAGACTTGTGTCTCCACTCATCACCTCTCAGACTTGTGTCTCCGTCACCTCACAGACTTGTGTCTCCGTCACCTCTCAGACTTTGTGTCTCCGTCATCACTCAGACTTGTGTCTCCGTCACCACTCAGACTTGTGTCTCCACTCCATCACCTCTCAGACTTGTGTCTCCACTCCATCACCTCTCAGACTTGTGTCTCCACTCCATCACCTCTCAGACTTGTGTCTCCGTCACCTCTCAGACTTGTGTCTCCACTCCATCACCTCTCAGACTTGTGTCTCCACTCCATCACCTCTCAGACTTGTGTCTCCGTCACCTCTCAGACTTCTGTCTCCGTCACCTCTCAGACTTTGTGTCTCACATCCATCACCTCTCAGACTTGTGTCTCCGTCACCTCTCAGATCTTGTGTCTCCACTCCATCACCTCTCAGACTTGTGTCTCCACTCCATCACCTCTCAGACTTGTGTCTCCACTCCATCACCTCTCAGACTTGTGTCTCCGTCACCTCTCAGACTTGTGTCTCCACTCCATCACCTCTCAGACTTGTGTCTCCACTCCATCACCTCTCAGACTTGTGTCTCCACTCCATCACCTCTCAGACTTGTGTCTCCACTCCATCACCTCTCAGACTTGTGTCTCCGTCACCTCTCAGACTTGTGTCTCCACTCCATCACCTCTCAGACTTGTGTCTCCGTCACCTCTCAGACTTGTGTCTCCGTCACCTCTCAGACTTGTGTCTCCACTCCATCACTTCTCAGACTTGTGTCTCCGTCACCTCTCAGACTTGTGTCTCCGTCACCTCTCAGACTTGTGTCTCCATCACCTCTCAGACTTGTGTCTCCACTCCATCCCCTCTCAGACTTGTGTCTCCGTCACCAGCTGCAGAACCCGGGGAAGTGGTCCTCAAAGTAGAAGCCCTGAAGGATTCCTCTTCGTCCTCTTCCTCGGTAGCCTGCTCCACAGTCTTCATGCAGACTGCTGCACTGTAGTCTGCTGCACATTGACATGTTGTAGGCCCTCCTGTGTTTCCCTTTGTGCTCATCTGAAGTGTTTCTCCAGTTCACCACGCCTGCATTGAAGTGTCAAAAGACAAATATGATTCAGACAGAAAATGCACAGAACTTCAACTGAGCTGATCTCAGTCTTAGTCAATGACCTTTTCAGTCCACTAAGTCACTCCAAGGAGTATTATCTTGTCACACACATTACGGGGGGGAGAGACACTTATAGAACTGACTGTCCAGCCAGCTGAAGTGGGCCTCCTCTTGAAAGGACTGCTGGCTCACAGTGTCACTGATTTGTTTGCAGCTTAGGGCAAGCGTGCAGATGGCAGGATCCCCGTCCTCAAGCACAACGAGGATAAGGACCCTGCGTATAATGTCCTCAGGTAGCTGTACATACAGAACATGACTGATGAATGGTTGTAGTATGTTAAGCATCTGCCGGGCTGTTCATTCGCTGGTTAGATCGGTGTGCTCTTCCTCCTGTGTCCTCGCTCTTCCCGTGACCTTTGACCCCCTTTATACACCCCGGTGCAGCTAACCCCCGCCACAAAGTGTTCTAAATAATATTGCATTATAAATATAAATAAAGTAAACTGACATGCCAACAACACCCATGAAATGGCTCCTATGGTAATCCAAGTTAATTAAAAGCATGAGCGCGAGACGCTAGTAGGAACTTTTCACTTCCTCACTTCCCTTACTAATCCGGCCTTGCCTCTAACATTTGGTCAGAGGTTTAAAACAGAGAAAGGATCTCCAGATCTGAGAGAAGCATTAATAATTAATTAAATATAATGATAGATTATGTGTTCTCTGATGATCATGGACGGACACTGAAGCACGAGTCAAAAAACATCTTTAATGTTCAATATTAAAAACATCTTTAATTTTCATTATTAAAATAAAGCTGCTGCATTATTTCCCTTTAAAGTGAGAACACCTTTAAAGCTTTGCTTTGAGTCGCACCACAGACTGTACATTATAAATATCCTTTTATATCACAATTTACAAAAATATTCTTCATAAAGATGCAAACAGCCACAACAAAATTAAAATAAAAGCTTAATTTCCAATTGTCAAAAAAAAAGTGCAAAAATTGAATTTACAGGAAACATTTTGGAGGAAATTTCAGAGCATTTTTGTAAAAATGATTATTAAAATAAAAAGGTAAAAACTAATTATAAACACATCAATTAAAATGGTCTCATGAAGCAGCTTATTACAGTTTGAACAGGATGATAATTAAGGCTTTTCAGATCAGCTGTTAATGAGAACGGGTTGCCAGGTTTGATTTGGTGTTTCAGAGTTTTGTTTTAGTCACAGGTTTAAAAAAACAAAAATAATTCACCCACAAACTGCTCATCTGTGTGCGAATAAAACACACATTTAAAACATGGTATTAATGTTGGCAGGGGAAGAAACACTTTAATCTTTATCAATCTGCAATATGTCTTTAAATCAGAAAGTTAAACTACAATCCAAGAAATGCAGGAACATGATCGCACTATAAACAGGACGATGAGAAGGACGCACAAAAGTGGAGGCAATTTAAAATAAAATAAAAACATGTTAATTACAAAACGGTAGAGACTGGACCAAAGCTTTAAACAATAAGGAAAGACTGGATGCAGCTCTGCAAAGAAAACAGAGCAGTTTGCACATCCTTCCAACCTGGCAACCCACAGGACGCCTTTCATTCCTGTCGGAAAATATAGAAACATGTCCCTGTTTGTTCTGCAGGTAAACAGAGGAGGACTGGAGACCCTCCACTAGACCTCTGGACCAATCACAGGGTCTCTGAGTCCACAGACTGTCCTCTGGACCAATCACAGGATCTGAGTCCACAGACTGTCCTCTGGACCAATCACAGGGTCTCAGAGTTCAAAGATGTTCACTTTAACGTGGAATAAAACCCCTTTTAGAGACAGGAAACGGGACTCTAACAACTGATTCAAAATGCTTCTGTCTTCCTCTTCTTCCTCCTCTTCCTCCTCAGGTCTCTGAAGGGGGCGGGGCTTCCTGTCGATGGATTAGAGGCGTCCCGTTGGTGCTGCTCAGTTTGGGGTCTGCAGTACGAGACTTATAGTTCTACAGACAGAGGAGACAGTGGGGGTTAACACACAACAACAACAACAACAACAACAACAACAACAACAACAACAGGATGAGGTGTACCACAGGAGCAGGGTGTCATACAGATACGAGTGGGGATTATAATGAATACTGTATATACACATTCAAAGCACATTTATTTGTAAGCATTGTACTGAAGTGTTATCGGCTGTACGATATTAAACGGGTTGAATGAATGCAAAACAATGGGTTTTAATGATGACACGTTCTGGCAAATAAAAACGTATCCGAGATACCTAAATGTAACGTGAAGTGCCTGAGTGAAGAGCCAATTAAAAGCCAGAGGAATCTAATGTTTATTACCCGTTAGCATCGAGGAGAAATAGTCCTTAACCCGAGCGTGTACTTCAGGTACGGGTTAATATCAACCGGGCAGCAACGTGGGCTAAATCTGAAATAATGCATCAGTAAAAACCCAAATAGACGCAGAATTATAATAACATCATGTGTTTAAATACGAAGTCAAGGAAACAATATTGTACTTAAATGCAAATGTGACATATTTGTTCTACAGTATTTTCTTCTCATGCCACTTTAAACTTTAAATACTGGATTCACACTTTACCTCGTATTTAAACTTGTATAATGTACATCAAGAGGGTCCAAACTGTTCTCACTGAGGGCCACACACAGAGAAACATCTGAGGGGCCGGACCCCCACTAGAGGGGGGGTATATCGCCTCATAATTCAGCAAACCAATCAAATGTAGGTCAATGAGTCTTGAAAGCTTTGAGAAACATCCCAGCTCTCCAGAGGGTCTACTTTCTCCTGTTGCAGCTCATCCCTTACACAGACCCTCAGATTGACTGAAGGGGAAATATGAAGGTTTATTTAAAGCTGGTTATGTGAATAAGTTATTGGGCTTTTCTCTTACCAACTAAGATCTGTTAGAAAGCGTTTTAATTGACTGAATGTATCTAAAAAGTGGACTCATTGACACATGAATACTGCTCTGTCATATCTGTTTACATATAAGTACAAGAGAAGCAGGCTTCAGGTGTGAGCTGAGGGACATTTAGAAATGGGCCGTAGTTTGAGGACCCCAATTTTAATTACTATTTTTAGTAAATCAATGTTTATTTATATAGCCCAGAGTTATAAAATATATTAGGTTATACATTTAGCAAAAACAGTTTGGACCGATTTATATGTGTATACACCCGGTGCAGCTAATCGTCGCCACCTAGTGTTCTAAATTATATTGCATTATAAATAAAGTACACTGACATGGAAATGGCTCCTCCAGGCGGCAATCCAAGCTATTCAAAAGCATGAGAGCGAGACGCTAATATATATATAATATAGAGTAAATATATAATGTAGTATGAGCGGTGTTGTATGAGTACTTGTACTGAAGTAAAGGACCTGAAAACACCTTAAAGACTAATTCAAATCAGAGGCCAGGAAGTGAGGAACACACACTACCAAAATAAAATGCAAATAAAAACACAGAAGGACAACAAAGCACACGGAGCGGACGCACAGCAGCAGGTTCAAACATTTATTCATCAAACTTTAAACAATCTTTGTACAAAAATAAACCCAAATAAATGTTTTGAAAAAGCAAACCTAGAATGTGAAAAACAAACCGCTGATCGAATGGAAGTCTGGACACATATAAAATAAAGACTGAATATATAAAGTCATCACTTTAAAATGCGCGCCTGTCCCTTTAAGAGTCCACATTGTCTCCGTTCAAATGTAACCCAAAAAACCATGGGAACAACACACCGCACACACACTTCCTGCTATAACAGGCTGCATGTGTGTGTGTGTGTGTGTGGGAGATAAAGCGCAACATACACACATACCAGAGTAACAAGTCAGAGGAAATGTGGCGAGGATCATGACCCAGTGTAACCACACACACATCTGGACTGCTTTAAGACAACACACACACACACACACACACACACACACACCACACACACACAACACACACACACACACACACACACACCACACACACACACACACCACACACACACACACACACACACCACACACACACCACACACACACACACACACACACACACACACACACACCACACACACACACACACACACACACACACACACACACACACACACCACACACACACACACACACACACACACACACACACACACACACACACACACCACACACACACACACACACACACACACACACACACACACACACACACACACACACACACACACACACACACACACACACACACACACACACACACACACACACACACACACACACACACACACACACACACACACACACCTTTCACATCCTGTCATTCTCATGCAATCATACATGTGTCTGATCTCTGAGAGCGGATTGGACGAGTGTCACTTTATGCTTTAACATATATTACATTGTATTGTGTTTGTGTTGGTCCCTGAAGGCAGCATCAGGTAGTCCAATGGGATAACCATAGACTGTATATATAACCGTATATATATATAACCCTAACCCCCCCCATGCACCTGGATGAGTGCTTTAAACAGCCCTCTGATAAAAGAGACGCTTTCACTCTTAAAACTGTGCACCTATTCTTTAACCTTTGTCTCACTTTAACACAATTGTGATTTCAAGTTTTGAGTGTGTTTAAAGGAAACCCCTATTCTTTATACACTGCATTGTTTATTTATATTTCTTGTGCTTTGTGATTTATTTAGAGTTTTTATATTTGTTAATGGTTTCACCGTTTTACTGAGTGTTTGGTGAGTAGGAGCGCACGGCCGCAGACAACGCACCGCACATTAAGAGTGTTTGGTGAGTGGAGTGCACGGCCGCAGGACAACGCACCGCACATTAAGCGTGTTTGGTGAGTGGAGTGCACGGCCGCAGACAACGCACCGCACATTAAGCGTTGTTTGGTGAGTAGGAGCGCACGGCCGCAGACAACGCACCGCACATTAAGCGTGTTTGGTGAGTGGAGGCGCACGGCCGCAGACAACGCACCGCACATTAAGCGTGTTTGGGTGAGTGGAGCGCACGGCCGCAGACAACGCACCGCACATTAAGCGTGTTTGGTGAGTGGAGCGCACGGCCGCCGACAACGCACCGCACATTAAGCGTGTTTGGTGAGTAGGAGCGCACGGCCGCAGACAACGCACCGCACATTAAGCGTGTTTGGTGAGTGGGAGCGCACGGCCGCAGACAACGCACCGCACATTAAGCGTGTTTGGTGAGTAGGAGCGCACGGCCGCAGACAACGCACCGCACATTAAGCGTGTTTGGTGAGTGGAGCGCACGGCCGCAGACAACGCACCGCACATTAAGCGTGTTTGGTGAGTGGGAGCGCACGGCCGCAGACAACGCCACCGCACATTAAGCGTGTTTGGTGAGTAGGAGCGCACGGCCGCAGACAACGCACCGCACATTAAGCGTGTTTGGTGAGTGGAGCGCAACGGCCGCAGACAACGCACCGCACATTAAGCGTGTTTGGTGAGTGGAGCGCACGGCCGCAGACAACGCACCGCACATTAAGCGTGTTTGGTGAGTAGGAGCGCACGGCCGCAGACAACGCACCGCACATTAAGCGTGTTTGGTGAGTGGAAGCGCACGGCCGCAGACAACGCACCGCACATTAAGCGTGTTTGGTGAGTGGAGCGCACGGCCGCAGACAACGCACCGCACATTAAGCGTGTTTGGTGAGTAGGAGCGCACGGCCGCAGACAACGCACCGCACATTAAGCGTGTTTGGTGAGTGGAGCGCACGGCCGCAGACACGCACCGCACATTAAGCGTGTTGGTGAGTGGAGCGCACGGCCGCAGGACAACGCACCGCACATTAAGCGTTGTTTGGTGAGTGGAGCGCACGGCCGCAGACAACGCACCCGCAACATTAAGCGTGTTTGGTGAGTGGAGCGCACGGCCGCAGACGTGAGGAAGCTGGAGTCACACTGAGCAAAACTGTGCAAGGTTTAGATTTGGCAAACAATAAAATCAACATTTCACGACAAACATTTATTGTTTTGTGCGCAAACGTTTAAAATGTCACATGCACGGTTTAAAATGTCACATGCACGTTTAAAATGTCACATGCAGTTTAAAATGTCACGTGCACGTTTAAAAATGTCACGTGCACTGCCCAGACACAAACCGCAATGCAACACATTTGAAAGTGAAAAACATAAAAGCCACAAACGGTGAAAAGGTTTGCAGAGTCTCCGTCTTCTCTCTGCAGAACAGTCACAGGAAGTCCTCCTTAAAGCCCGTTCTAGTTTCAGGTCATAAACGACTGTGAGACAGGAAGTGAGCGTCTGTTCGCACAGCATCCCATCGGCCGCAAACCTGCTCGCTAACGTCTCACGTTTCAAAAGTGAAGCGCGGACTCGTTAGCCTCTTTATTTTTTCATCTGATTTTCACATACATTTTTTTTGAGTGAAAAGTAAATGGGAAAATAACAATGAGCCCCATTGAAATGCATCCATTACTTAGTCAGTGTGTAGAAACCGGTTTTATTGTGAAATATTCAACTATGCTTTAAGGCAGGGGTGGGGAACCTCCGGCCCGCGGGCCGTATAAAGGCCGCGGGACATTTGATACGGCCTTCGAGGTCATTTATAAAACACACGCCAATTATTTTTGCTTTTGATTGATGCTTTTAACTTCAATATTCAAAAAGATCTTCCCGGGGGAGCATGCCCCCGGACCCCCCTAGAGGAGGTTAGGACCCCCCCCCCACTTAAATCATGTCCACATGGATAGGAAACTAAATAAATTTGCAAACATATTGTGTCCATATCTTTCTGTTTTGGTGGTCAAGCCACACCGTGCACGTGCATGCACGAGTCATGGTGAGATATCTGGATTCAGAGGTTGCTTTTTCTTTGCACAGCATGAAAGAAAGGCCAAATGAATGGGCTGTGATTTTAGTTTTTTAAGCAGAGGTCAACGCGGATACAAGCGGCCGAGATGGGTTTTCTCCGCAGGGTGGCTGGTGTCTCCCTTAGGGATAAGGTGAGAAGTTCGGTCATCAGGGAGGGACTCGGAGTTGAGCCGCTCCTCCTTCGCGTCGAAAGGAGCCCAGTTTGAGGTGGTTCGGGCACCTAGTTAGGAGGTGCCACCTGGGCGCCTCCCTAGGGAGGTGATTCCAGGCACGTCCAGCTGGGAAGAGACCAAGGGGTAGACCTAGGACCAGGTGGAAGGGATTATATCTCTTCGCTGGCCTGGGAGGACGCCTTGGGATCCCCCAGTCAGAGCTGGTTGATGTCGCCAGGGAAAAGAAAGTTTGGGGCTCTCTGCTGGAACTGCTACCCCCGCGACCCGACCACGGATAAGCGGGAGAAGATGGATGGATGGAAGCAGAGGTCAACCATTTGCACGGCCCCCGGAGGATGTTGTCAACATTGAAATGGCCCTTGAGAGGAAAAAGGTTCCCCACCCCTGCTTTAAGGGAACTAAGGACAAACATATCAGATTATTCTGTGGTCGAGATGAACCCTGTGGGCACCCCGGTTTTTTAAATAACTAAACCTTTAGTTTGTCAGTGTTTTATTGTGAAAATATCAGCTATATGCTTTAAGGGTAGTTCGATTTTATTTATTTTTAAATGAACCCCGTTTTATCGGATTTGCACCTGGGTGTTTTTTGAAGAAGATATATTAAAAAAAAAAAATGAACCATGATTTTCTTTAATAACGAGTCCAATTGAAATGCAACATTTAGTGTGTAGCAGCGGACCCGTGTTATTGTGAAAATATCCCTATAAAAGCCCAAAAAGGGACAGAGTGGTAGAGTTTGACCCTGTTTTAATCAGATTAGCACCGCAAGGTTTTAAACCGTGACTTTCTGGGGGTATTTCTTGTGATAGGTAAAGGTACAGAGTGGCCCTGAATGCAACCTCTAAGAGAGTCGCAGCTTCGGAGCAGATCATCTGTTTAGCGGGGTGGTGCGTTCAGGGGCGTGCGTGTTTTCTCTCCGTTACTCTCGGACAGTACCTCGTGCTCCATCGTGTTTAAAGTGCACCCCCGAGGAGGGGATCTTGTCTTCGTCTCGTCTGCGGCACAGGAAGCACAGGATCTCCTTGAAGGTCCGTCTCATGTCCTTGTCCCTGAAGGAGTAGATGATGGGGTTGACGAAGGAGTTGCACTCGGCCAGAAACCAGGCAGTACTTCTCGTAGCGCAGAACTTTACATCTTTCGCAGCCCAGGCCGTCCAGAAGCAGAACCACCAGGGCCGGAGTCCAGCACATCACAAAGCACCCTGCGGAGACACAGAGGAACTGTTAGTGCTCAGGAGGTACAGGAGGACGCTTGAAAAACCGGGACACGAAGAACTGTTAGTGCTCAGGAGGTACAGGAGGACGCTTTAAAACCTGGGACCACAGAAGAACTGTTAGTGCTCAGGAGGTACAGGAGGACGCTTTAAAACCGGGACACAGAAGAACTGTTAGTGCTCAGGAGGTACAGGAGGACGCTGTTAAACCACGCGACACAGAAGAACTGTTAGTGCTCAGGAGGTACAGGAGGACGCTTTATAACCGGGATCACAGAGGAACTGTTAGTGCTCAGGAGGTACAGTAGGACGCTTTAAAAACTGGGACACAGAGGAACTGTTAGTGCTCAGAGGTACAGGAGGACGCTTTAAACCGGGACACAGAGGAACTTGTTAGTGCTCAGGAGGTACAGGAGGACGATTTAAACCGGGACACAGAGGAACTGTTAGGTACGATAAGGTACGGTGAGGTAGGATGTGATTAGATACGGTACGGTACAGTGAGGTAGGATGTGATTAGATACGGTTTGATTGATTGATTGATTGAAAAGTTTATAACAGCTTGTATATTGGGTACAGTACAGTACAGCTCAAAACATAACAATTGTTAAGGGGATGCAGACCAGAGAAAGACTTTCGTCTTGTTTACATCAGGGTCCCCCATTTCCAATTCATCATGTCATTTAAGACATATAAGACATATTTGACATACAGATGGCTTATTACAATTTACATACAGGTGGTTTTTTACATACAGATTGCTTGTTTACAATTTTCCATTTTAGATTTCGTTCTAATACATCCTAACAGCGGACATTTAAGACATACCAAGTCTACAGGATATACAGTTAGTAACAGAGTCTAAAATGCGAGTATATACATAGATGGGGGGGGGAAGCTGTCCATTGAACGACAGGTTGAGATGTGTACCATTACCCGGGGCCAGTTTTTTGCAATGCTCTCCCCCGAAGTGCTCTTTAAGAGAGGTTTTGAAGGTAAGGTAAGTAATAGTTTTACTTTCCTTTACAGTTGTGGGAAGAGCGTTCCACCTTGATGTGGCATAATTGCGAAACGTGTATTCCCCCTTTTTTGTGCCAAATCTGGGTTTCACATGATTTGTGGGAGCTCCTCTGGTGTTATGATCATGGTATTCCTTGACCTATTTGGGAAGAGTTTTGACATGTACATGGTACCATAGAGGTGAGTGGATCTTGTAGACCCAGGCCCATTGCAAGTAGCTGTACTCTGTCGTCTACTCTAAGCCATCCTAGGTTGTCAAAGTGGGCAGAGGTGAGGTGGGTTCTAGATGAAAGGTCCAAGCAGTTAGTCTGACCAGTTATTTTGCGATGTTTGAAGTTTTATTTGTAGCGCCTTGGAGGTGCTATGGTACCATGACGTGCAAGCATAGTCATAGTACCCTTGAATGAGTGCTCCTGCCAGAGTCTTCAGGGTGGTTCTTGTTTACCAGAGAGGAGGATTCGGTATAGGAATCTAGTTCTTTGATTGACTTTTTTTATTACATTGGATGCCATTTTGTCACAGGAGAGGTTTGCCTCAAGAATAGATCCTAGGTATGTAATTTCCTTCTTACTTGTGACAATAATGTCGCCCACTGCAACTGAGAAGTCGTCGGATTTGCTGAGATTATGTTTTCGAACCGAAGAGAATGGACTCTGTTTTACCCAGGTGTAATGATCATTTATTATCGGCGAGCCAGGTGCAGATTCTGCCGAGCTCGGAGCTGAGGGTTTTTTTCAACCTGCAATCTGCTCCTGTCAGAGACCAGCAGGGCTGAGTCGTCCTCGAACAGGAACAAGTTGCAGTCACATGCTGATGACATGTCATTTACATAAATTAGGAACAGTAACGGACCCAATATGCTTCCTTGTGGAACACCACAGCTCACTGGGAGGGGGGGGGACAGAGTACCGTTTACCTCCACCATCTGTTCTCTCCCCTCCAGGTGGGATTGCATCCAGCTCACCGATAGTTTATCAAAACCAATTGCTTTTTAGCTTGTCAATCAGAATGGGGTGATTGACAGTGTCGAAAGCCTTTTGTAGGTCCAGCATCACCATGCCGCAGTACTTGCCCTCGTCCACCTCTTGTTTGATGGTGGTCGCTCAAATAAAGAAGGCATGTGGTCAGTGGAAGTGGGATGTTCTAAAGCCAGATTGAAATTCATAGATTAGTTTCTTTTCCGCGAGGTACTTTTCGACCTGTTCATATACTATTTCTTCCATGACTTTCGAGATGGAGGTAAGTATAGAAACAGGGCGGTAGTTGCCTGGGTCCAATTTGCTGCCCTTTTTGTGCAGGGGGGGGGTTACTCTTGCAATTTTGAAGTTTTGGGTACTTTTCCCTGTTTTATGGGTAGGTACGGTGAGGTGGTAGGATGATTAGATACGGTACAGTACGGTGAGGTAGGATGTGATTAGGTACGTTACGGTGAGGTAGGATGTGATTAGATACGGTACGGTACGGTGAGGTAGGATGTGATTAGGTACGGTACGGTACGGTGAGGTAGGATGTGATTAGGTACGGTACGGTGAGGTAGGATGTGATTAGGTACGGTACAGTACGGTGAGGTAGGATGTGATTAGGTACGGTACGGTGAGGTAGGATGTGATTAGATACGGTACGGTACGGTGAGGTAGGATGTGATTAGGTACGGTACGGTGAGGTAGGATGTGATTAGATACGGTACGGTACGGTGAGGTAGGATGTGATTAGGTACGGTACGGTACGGTGAGGTAGGATGTGATTAGGTACGGTACGGTACGGTGAGGTAGGATGTGATTAGATACGGTACGGTGAGGTAGGATGTGATTAGATACGGTACGGTGAGGTAGGATTGATTAGATGCGGTACGGTGAGGTAGGATGTGATTAGATACGGTACGGTGAGGTAGGATGTGATTAGATGCGGTACGGTGAGGTAGGATGTGATTAGATACAGTACGGTGAGGTAGGATGTGATTAGATACGGTACGGTGAGGTAGGATGTGATTAGATGCGGTAGGTGAGGTAGGATGTGATTAGATACGGTACGGTGAGGTAGGATGTGATTAGATACGGTACGGTGAGGTAGGATGTGATTAGATACGGTACGGTGAGGTAGGATGTGATTAGGTACGGTACGGTACGGTGAGGTAGGATGTGATTAGATACGGTACGGTGAGGTAGGATGTGATTAGATACGGTACGGTGGAGGTAGGATGTGATTAGGATGCGGTACGGTACGGTGAGGTAGGATGTGATTAGGTACGGTACGGTGAGGTAGGATGTAGATACGGTACGGTACGGTGAGGTAGGATGTGATTAGGTA